AACTTAACGTCGTCTTTAACATCATATCCTTTACCTTTTGTCATTCCTGACCAATCCCAATATCTATGCCTATGCCAACCTGCTTGAGATGTACTTAAATCTATGTAGTGACTGTGCGCAGGTAAATTTTCACCTGAAATCGTTTTACTTCCTCCTGTTTCCTTTGAAGAGTTTGCACAATACAAAAACCTGTCAACTATTTGTTCCCATGCACCAACACCAAACATTACTTGAGGACCTCTTGCTTCCATAGATGTATAAATAGAACCTACTGGGTTCATTAAATCAAACATATGAGACATTATAGGATTGTCTCTTTTGAACTTAAAATATAGTGCAACTATTTCAGGTTTCTTCTGGTTTAAGTCAGAATATTTTTTATAATATAATCTTATGTTTTCAGGGTAGGTAAAGTCTTGACTATAATATTTGTTTCTGTCATCTTCATAATAGTATACTATTCTCGTTTTTTCTATTGCATTATATCTTTTATATCTATAATAATCTAAATATAATGTTAGCTTTTGTTCATCTACATGTGGTGTTCTGACGTCATCTCCATAGTCATAATAATATGGTGCTGGAGCTGGGTCAGGCAATGTCATATCTGTCATTTCATAAACTCTTAAATATTTCTTTTGTTCGTCTCCATATAAGTTTAAGTAGCAGTTGTTGTCTAATGGAACTTTAACTTGTGTACCATCGTTCTTTTTATAGCTTACATACATTTCATTGTTATTTTTCGGAATGAGTTTATACCGTGTACCATTTTCTAAGGACTGTACCAACTGCCATCTAAAATATTTGTTTTCTTCATTGACAGAAAAGTCACCAACAATAGTTTCAATATTTTTTGTTCCTAGCAAACTTTGGTATATTTCATTGACATATGTTTTATCTGCTTTATTTTCAAGGCTAACGTTTAAGTCTGTTATTTCAGAAGATGTATGTGTATGTCCAACGTCACTTTTCCTGTTTAAGGTTTCTTGTAAGTTTGCAATATTTGCAATGGTATGTGTATGTCCAACGTCACTTTTCCTGTTTAAGGTTTCTTGTAAGTTTGTTATTTCAGATATAGAATGTGTATGAGTCTTTTTAGAATATTCGTTTTCAGCTCTTGTCACTTCACTTGACATTTTATTGTCAACATATGTTTTGTCTGCTAGTTCAGGATGAGTATGTTCTTTTGTTGCATAAGCATTGTTAGCTCTTTCTTCTTCTTTTGCTATTGCATCGTCTACATATTCTTTGTCAGCTTTGTTGCCAACATCTGCTTTCAAAAGAAGTTCAGATATAGGTTTCTCGTTTAAAGTTCCTTTTGTTGGTTTTATACAGACAGTATGGTTCTTATTGTCTTGAAACAGAAACTCATCTGTCATTGGTTTAATGTCAGTTTTAAGTTTCCTTCTTTCAATGACTCAGATATCTTAGAATAGTTTGAAAAGTTTGTTGTGTTCTTATTTAGAGCTTGTATAATGAGTTGTCGGTTGTGTTGTATTTCTCTCATAGACGCTGTTTCATTTGACATTTTTATTCTAGATAAAATATGCTTCCAATAGAAAAAGAAAATTCAAGAGTTGCTACAACTAAACCATTAGATGAACTTTTTACTAATGTCGGTCAAAAGTTTGAGACAGAGACCGTAAAGCATGAAGGCTATCGTTTTGACTACCCATTAAGATGGCTAAGAGACCCATCTGTCACAAAAGCTATTGGCTTTCGTAGAATGAAGTTTGTGTCTGTAGAAGATAAAAGTTTTCCATTTATTGTAAGGTTTCATATAGATTATATATCTGAAGGGAAACGAAAAATGTGGGAAGAAATTGAGCTAATACAAGTTGACCTTTCATCTTCTCTACAGACTGCGTTAAAAAATATAGAAGATAAAATAAATTCATGTTATGCAAAATATGCTGATGAATATGCAAATACCGAGAGCACACTTTATGTGAGAATTGTATATGACAAACAAAATTCACAAGTGTCATTTCAAATCTACGAAGACAATCCAAAGAAAGACGAACAAATATATACAGAATTCACTGCAATGTCATGGTATTATTTGCAAGAAATGTTAAATCAGAAAGTCGAACTTCCTTTAGCAAATATTTACAGTCGATATGCAAGAGATGAACCATATTTATTTAAAGATGTTTTCGACCCAGCTGCTATTATTGTTCATGCTTCATTTTCTGGCGCTCAAAACTCTTTCTTATGCTTGGCAAATGACTTTTACGAAAAACCTACAAAGTTATATGAACCGCCGAGTGGAAGTATTTCAGACTTTCAAGTATGGTTTACTACAGATGGAAGAAAAAGAATAATTCCATTATACCATGCGTTTTACTTAGAACTTAGTTTCATATACAACTACTATCGAACGGTAAAAATATAATTTTTTAATACGGTTGAGGTGTTGGATTTGGTTGCCAACTAGACTGTGGTGCAGGTTCAGGCTGTTGTATAACAGGAGCTTGTTCTTCTGGTTCAGGGTCTTTAGGTATAATACCAACAAACTGACCTACTCTTTTACCAATATTTTTGACTCCGTTCCAAATTCCTCTTCCGACAGATTTTATTCCATTCCATATACCTCTTCCAACATTTCGAAAGAAGTTTCCTATTCTTCCAAAGAAACCCATTTTACTATATGTAAAAATCTAATGTCCGCCTAGTCTCTTACGTTTCCTGTTGAGTTCCATAGCATTCTTTAACTGGAGCTCATACATTCTGTTTCTCCTCTGGTAGAAAACATATTCTGGGTCAACTCCTGTGTTCGCGTCATCTGCATAAAGTTGTTTATATCCCACTTCAGGGTTTGTATAAAACTCTTTCCATCTCATATTTGCATACCATGGTGGCAAACCTAACGCAGCGTCATTTGACATGGCAGTTTGCATTTGTACATCTGTTGGCACTTGACCATAGTTTGCCATTGCAGTTTGTATTCTAACTTCATTTGGAATATTCTCTGGGTTTGGTTGTCCAGGTTGCTGTGCATTCGCTAAGTTCTGTGCGTCCATTTAATATTAGATAAAAATATCTCTTACGAGTACATATGCTGAACATTTGCAGGCATTGGTTCATCTTCATATTCTCTGTACTTTTCTGCCACGTCAAATAAGTAAATGACACAATGGAAAAAACCTAAAACAAGTAGTCCTATTTCAAACCACATTTACTTACTAATAAAATTTCTTTGTTATGACACTTTCTCCAGTTTATAGGACCTCTCTCATATTCTATCTTGTCATATATAAACTCATAGTCATGTATGTCCTCTAACCATCTCATAACGGTTTCCAAACCACTTTTATCGGATGTAAAGTAAAAGCATGGATGGTTATGTAAAACGTCTAAAGTTTCTAAAGAGTCTCTCAAAGTCCAGTCTACTTGGTATTGAAAATCCCATGTGTTATAGAACGGCGGGTCCACTATAAAGAAAACATTTTCCTTGTCTTTATATTTTTCATACAACTCTGTCCAATGACATCTCACAAACTCTATACCCTCAATATATTTTTCTATGTCCTCTTTGAAAACATTTGTATAGTTAAGATATAAAACTTTTGACATAAGTGTTTCAATGTCATGAACTCTTATAGCACCACTATATAATAGTCTAGCAGATATACTATCCCAGTCTATATATTCTGCTTTTTTCAAAACCTCTCTCACAATATTTTTCTTATCTAATGGTATACGTTCCATCTTACCTATAGGTATCTTTTCTTTTAACTCTTTCAATATATTGTTTGTGTCTGGTATATGTTTGAGACGGTCCATATAGTTGTCGAAGTCATTGCATATAATCTTTGAGTCTGGGAATATTATATGACATAAATGGGATATATAGAAACTTCCACCGAACAAATCTACAAATGTTAGACCATTCGGTAGTTTCTTAAGTTCTCTCAATATAATATCTTTACATTTACTCTTATTTCCAAAGAACGGTAACGGTGGTTTTGTAAAATTCATTTATATATAATAATAAAAATGTTTTTTCCTGAAAAGTGACAGAAAAGTGACAAAACATGAAAACATATATAATTTGTGAAAAGCGACACATTATATAATGTTTTCGACCCAGAAGAAGGCTTCTTCCCAGAAGCAATGGAGGAAGAAGAAGAGTCCTCCGAATAAAAACTTCATTTATACTAAACATCAACATCAGGGCTAGAAGGCACGAAGTGCCTGGAAGCCCCACTACCTTTTTTTTTTTTTTTTTTTTTTTTTTTCCATAATGTATTTTATTTAATTTAGAAGCTCCTCATAGCTCTAAACTAACAATGCTTTCTGAACTTGATATAGTACCTTGATTCGATTGAATTTTTCGGTAATTAATATAGAAATATGGGTTGAAACTCTCACATACAATAAAATCTGATGTACACTGGATATCAATTTCAAATTTCATTTTTTCATGGAAAAGCTTAGAATTTGATTTAAGAATGGTTGCTTCTTCCGACTAGTTATTAAGAACAAAATATGTAAAAAACTTTGAAATCCTTATTTTTAAAGGAGCCTCAGATATTTGAATCATTTCTAAAATCAGTTTCTGTGTAACTCATTAACATAGCTTTACATAGAGATAATCTACTTAATATTAACAATTATTCGATTGCTTTATGCCTTATTGATCTTGAAAATGTATTAAACTTCTTGATTGCTATTTCATATTATCCTGCTATATCATTCGATTGATTCATCACTCATGTTTTGGATCGATCGGGCCAGAATGCATCGTACCATATTGTTTATCATTCGTAAACAAATTTATTGAATTTAGGCAAAAACATATTTTATTTAAAGCTTACCGAATTTTAATTAGATTAATTTCCTTAACAATATTATTGAAGCGAACGATACTCATTGAATTTGATATTTTCTTTGAAAATTAAATAAAAATAGTTAACTATACTTAAGTAGTACTTTGAAAAATGTTGTTACCGGAGATTGAAATAAATTTTATCGTCATGTAATTGAAATTATTATAAATGGTGAAAGAATTCTCTGATTACTTTCCAGGACTTTCACAGCCCTTCTCCATATGCAATAGTACGGTCAACGCAACTGCAGGAAATGTTTACGTTGCTGCATCTGAATTTTCTCTCTTAAATGCGGGTGAAACTTCATCCGGTGGTGCAATTAACATTATAAATTCCGTACGAATTGCTATAACTCTTTCAAAGTTTACCGGATGCATGTCAGGAAGAGCTGGTGGCGCAATTTTCGTTGATCCTCTTGGCAAGGATAATGGCCTTTACATTGAAAAATGCATTGGCTCGCTATGTTATACATACTCATCAGACCCTGATGTCAGTTTTTACCATCAAGGACAGTGGGCTATGGCAATTACAAATTCTGATAGCTGTATCAACACAATAACATACTGCTCCATCGAACAATGCGCGCCTTATAATTACTTCACTAACCAACGTCCTATTGCAGCAGTTAATGGCCATATTGATCTTAATAACCTTAATATTTCAAATTGTGTCTCTGCATACTGTGGAGGCTTCTATGTAGATGGTGGGTTTGACAAAGTTTCCAATGTAATACTTGCAAACTGCATTGTTGAAAAGTATGCATTAATTGAAGTCAAAAACTGCACAGGCAAGTTCCACAATGTTTTACTTCTTGGTATCCAACATAATACAGATGCAACAATCATTGAATCATATCCATTGCTTATCATTTTCCAAAGTAATTTGATTTTCGACTTTTTAAACGTTGTTAACTGCACTTCTAAGGATCCAAGCTTACTAAGAGTTGATACACAAGATGGAGACTCTACAATTCTCTTCAATAACTCATACGTCCAAGGCGATTTATCAATTGAAGGTTTTACATCCCATTATCCATATTCACTTCCATTAGTAATCGATTTCAACTTGTTCAACGAAGAACAAAGACAATCCGAAAAGCTTGACTACCTTCACTATACAACACCTCCAACAACAATTCCTTCTGCTTCTCCTTCATCTACTCCTGATGCTACACCATCTTCTTCTGACGAACAGGATGATAATAAGGCAAAGAAAAACAAGGTCATGATAGCAATAATTAGTGTAGCTGGATTTATCGTTTTGGCTGCAATTATTGTTGCTGTTGTCATTGCTATCATAAGATATAGAGGTACACATTATAATGTGAAGACTAGTGATTACGCAGATGGCACAGAAGGAAAAGCTGGTGATGAGGGGTTCCTTACTCAAGATAATTTATAATATTTTTAATATCAATATATATCACTCTTAGAATGATATAATAAACATCTCTTTTATTTTTGATTTTGCGTTTATTAAGGCTTCTCTCCGATGTGAACTGATCCTCTCAATTTTTCCATGATCTTAAGGTACCAAGCTCCTCATGCAGTCAGTTTCATGGGACATTACCTATATGATATCATTGCTTGATCTTTGCAGATATTATAACAAAGGTTATTTTTTAAAAAAATCCTAAAATTAAAAGAATTTGAATTTATTCCGCATTTTTCGTCTAAAACAAGTTTTTTTCAACTTTGGATAATATGATTCTACTAATCATGTGTTCATCATTGCGCTTACTCCCACCTCTAAATTACATACATTTTATGTCGAAAAAGTAGATTTTGGTCTAAATTTTTTCGATTTTGTACGAGGTCTCCGAAGGGTGGTGAAGTGACTTTTTTAAAACTCTGATGCTATATTCATAATCCTTATTAATTGAATAAGCATAATCCACTCTTCTTTTTTTCATTTTGCATGAAAAAACCGGCATTATTTAAATCCAAATTTGAATTTGAAAAAGAGTGATTGCAAATGTTTTAATTGGAAGTATGGTATGCAAATTTAGGGTCAATTAAAAGTTTTTCACTTGATAATCTTCATAATTTAATTTGTTGATGAATTTTTGATTAAAAGGATTTCAATTAGGTATTTTTCGAGGTAACACCTATTATTCTGAAAGAATTTAGTTTATCATCATGAAAATATATACTGATAAGAAAAAGTCTAAATTTGATTAAACTGATATAGGGATCGTTGACTTTTCAAGTTTAATTTCTATTATGAAATTCATAAAAGCCTATAATAAATGTTTTGGCAAATAATGTTTTTATATCAAATAAGAAAATCATAATAAAGTAAATTATAGCATTTCTTATGTCAGATAGCTTATCATACGAAATAGGACATCACTATGTTCCTTATATTATATTCGAAAATGATGAAGAAGATGTATATGTATATCTAGATGATGCAAAAAATATTCGCATTACAGATTTTGAATCTGTTTGCAGCATTCAATTAGAAGATCATAGGCCAACTTTATTAGTATTTGAAAAATTTGAAATTTAATTTCAAGTAATTATACTTTTTATATTGAATAAATATTTGTTTGTAACATTCTTTTGAATTGGTACTGTTTATTTTTTCATCTATTCTTTTGAATCTATTTTTTAAAAATATAGCGTCTTATTGGTTTCGGAATACAAAATAAATTAATAGGTTTGAATATATTCTCTAGGAATTTTCGTAATATACTGCTTGAGTTACATGCTTTCGGTCAAATTTTGGATAATGCAATTTAATCTTGAGCAAAAACAGCGACTTCGGACCTCATACTCTGGAGTATTAATGCCCTACCAACAAGCATTTAAAAGAACCCAAGTTGTATTTTTTTGAAATTTTTTATTTTTGAGGTATCAAAATCCCCATCTCCAGAAAGAATGTGAAATGAAAGTCGATACAGACCGTTTGGTCGGAGAGAAGCCTTAAATGCCCAAGTCACTTTTTTTTAAAAAAGGTAAGTTCAGAGCTTGTCAACCGTAATTCCCTGTGAAAAGCAGTATAATAAGCATATATATTCTAGTATAGACTGATGTTTCCATTATTTGGTACCCTACGTTCCCAACTTCTGGAAAACGGTTTTTCATCCTTATGATCAGTTTCAGACACTTTGGGAGTCTCCCAAACTTTGATATTTTGCATTATGACAGAGAAACGTGTCTAGTTTAACGCACAGTTGTTTTAAAGGCAAATGATGATATCACATGAAATTATCAAATTATCAAATTTTGAAGTACCAGTCCAAAGGGTTAATTAGATCCTACACAGATGTGCGATAGTGAAACATATGTGTTCTTGATTTGAGAAGTCCTACTGATAGAGGTATGAATCTCACAGCTTTGTGTGAGTGTGTCTGACACTTGTATAGAGTGGAATATGCGCCGACATATATTATATAATAACATGTAGTTGATAATTATGAAAAAATAGAATTTGATGCGAATGATATTGAAAGTTGTTTTGTAATTTGATATTTTTCTTATATGTGTTAATTAGTAAATGGCTTGTTTGTTGTGATAGTACTGTGAAAAATGAAAGGTATTTTAAATTAAAAAAATGAGATTTTGAGATATCTCTAGAATTAAGAATTTATTATGTATTTGACTTTTCTATAACTATGTGTAAAGGATCTCGATGTCTATATGCTTTAAATAAAATTAAATAAAATGAGATAAAAAATTAAAATGGACAAGAAGATATATGGAAATGTAATTTGTATTGTATTGGTTGTTGGCAGAATGATTTTAATACAGATTTAAGGATTTGGAATGGATTTGAAATTAAATGATTTTTATTCAAGGAATAATAAGATTTTGAACTGGTTTTTATTTTGAGAATGTAAACTCCTTCCATAGGATATGTATTAGAAAGATCAATGTCAAACTTTTTGAAAGAATTGTTTTTTTGTTGAGTGATTTTCTCTCATTTGATAATATTTTTAAGTTGGCGTATCTTACGCCCTTCCAAAAATATGTATTAGAAAGATCAATGTCAAACTTTTTGAAAGAATTGTTTTTTTGTTGAGCGATTTTCTCTCATTTGATAATATTTTTAAGTTGGCGTATCTTACGCCCTTCCAAAAATATGTATTAGAAAGATCAATGTCAAACTTTTTGAAAGAATTGTTTTTTTGTTGAGCGATTTTCTCATATTTAATAATATATTTAAGTTGGCGTATCTTACGCCCTTCCAAAAATATGTATTAGAAAGATCAATGTCAAACTTTTTGAAAGAATTGTTTTTTTGTTGAGTGATTTTCTCTCATTTGATAATATTTTTAAGTTGGCGTATCTTACGCCCTTCCAAATATTTCTTAAAAATTTAAATTTGTCTCATCTCCTACTCTTAATTTAAAAAAATTTCAAAATCCATAATAGTAAACATTTCTTATTTTTATTTAAATCTGAAAAAAATAAATTTAAACAATTTCTTTACACACGACGGTTTCGGCGGTTTTCAGAATGGTTGACAACTGAATTCATCAGGATAATGTCGGTTGGGGTGCCCTTCTTGGCCTCCTGAGTACTCACCAAGATACCCCCAGCTCCCGCAAAACACCTCCCATAGGTGAGCATTAACTGATGAAGTTATTGACAACTTTATCTGATTTTTTTCTTTGTTTTTTTGTTAAGATTTCTTAACCAAAGACTCGAAAACAAAACTTCGCTTCAAGTTGCTGTCTTCCCAGTTACTCTGTCGCAATCTTTTGTCTGATTGCGTGCAAAGTTCTGCTCCATGAATTATCAAATATGTGCCATTTCAGGAGAGATAACAAGTTCATACCTCCTGGAATGGCGGATTGTTCAACAATCTTCTTCTGATTGCAGAACTTTCAACCGACAAGAGGTGCATATGCACATCTTTTAGGTTGCAATCTGTGATCTCAGGAGACATAACAAGCTCATGCCTCCTGGAATGGCGGATTGTTCAACAATCTTCTTCTGATTGCAGAACTTTCAACCGACCTCACGAAGAAATTCTAATCGATATCCTTTTCGATTTACTTATATTTGTGAATCATGACGTTAAAATCTTACGTTAAAATTCTGTACTTTATAAATCAGTTCATTTCTGCTTAAAGCATATTAATAAAGTTGTTCTTCAGATTAATGTTAGTAAGCCGGCGCTAGCAAAGAATCTTTGCATCTTTATTATGCTTATTAGTATGAAAGATTTAACATATAATTCGCCAAAGTTTAAAGCCTTATGACGAAACTTACCAAAAACATCTTCTTCCAGCAAGATCCGCCTATACTCCCACATTTGTCTCTACAGCTCTCACTTTGTCAGATTGTCAAAAGAATAAAAAAAAAAATAAAAAAGTGACAAGACAAATTTTTAATGACTGACATAGACCATCTAATAAGAGAAGATCTTCCGCCAGATATCAAAGAAAAATTAAAATTCCTCGGCAAATTAGTTCATGACCCAAGATTCAATGCGGCAACTCTGAGCGATAAAAAAGTCGAAGTTTTAATGGATCTTATAAAAGCTAGTTTTGACGAATCATACAGAAATCTTATTGATCAAATTGTCACCATTACAAATATATCTCGCTCTACCTTGTATAATTATAGAAATGCTTACCTGGAAGATGAAAAATTCAACCCAAAAACGGCACAGTTACTTGTTAACAGAGCTATTGATGACGAAGGAGAGCTCTTGATAGCCAACTACATTATCACAGAATTTATTGAAAAAAAGTTTTTATTTCAATACACAAATGTGCCGAGTAATTGTGGAAATGTTTAAAGATGCTTACCCTGAACATGTTTTGAAAAAAGAGAATTTCGAAATATCTCCTCATTATCTTGTGAACTTTAGAGAGCGGCAAAATCTGACAACAAGAAAGGCACATTGGCACAGAAGACCTCAAGATAAAGAAGAAATGCAAGAGCGGATACAACAATTCAATGAAATTAAAGCGGAACTCTTTGAAAGATTCAAAGACGAGCTTTGGCGGCTCGCAAATGCAGATGAATCTTTCTATGGATGCGGCATTGCAGGCGGTCTTACTTATGCTATTAAAGGATCAGAAGGAGTCGATATACACATTAACCACAACCAAAAGAAGGGTGTTACAATCATTGCAACCATCACAGCTGATGGAAGAAAACTTCCTTTGACAATTGTGTGCAAAGGATTGACAGACAGGTGCCATCAACAAGTGAGCGACGACCGGATCATCAGCAATGAAAAGATCCTTCATTCCGAATCAGGATGGTCTACCAATGAGGTTTTCAAATCTTACCTCGAATGGGTTCGCGACTGGTAAGTTAGTATACAAGTCATGGGTACGGCGGCACTGCGTTCCACCTTACCCAATACTTGTGAATTTGACACTTTACAAAGCCGCCAACCACTTCACTAACGAACTCACTAATGTAAAAAATAAACGTTCTCACTATCGTTCTCACTAACGACTTCACTAATGTTCTCATAAATTTTCCTCAATATCTTCATCATCAGTGTTAACCCTATTGTAGTCATACTTGAAGCCATAAACTTTCTCTAACTTCTTAACGTACAATTTACATAACTTACCTTCGTCATCGTATGGTTTAATGATATAACTATTTCTATCTTTATACACAGTCAATGAAAAGTCAACTGGTCTCGGATGTATTTGAAAGAACATGTTATGCTCAGGAAGGAAGAATAAATGTTTAAATGTATGTTTGTTATACTGTGGAATTCGAATGAGTTGCTTTTGTTCTGTCATTTACATCCAAATAAAAATTTTCAGTAAAATAAAAAATAAACTTAAAAATTAATGATATCACCACTCCCACACGTATGAAAACATCCATTTAAATTTAGGGTAGAAGGGTAGATCTAACCTCATTTCTACCCTCATTTCTACCCTGAGCTCTTCTGAGCTCTTCCCACATATAAACATGTGACAATATTTTTTCATATTTTTTTGTGCTTTATCTAACTTATAGCATGTACTGAACTATTTTACAGACTCTTCTGAGCTCTTCCCACATATAAACATGTGACAATAACACATACATACTCCCTTCATATTCTGATCTCATGACATATTACCTCAAAAACTATATTTAAAGCACAAAAAATATAAAATAAATATTAAATGGAGAAAATTATATTTGAACAATTGTATGTAAAGGGTTTGATCTAAAAACATAGTATATAAACAAATAGTGTGGATAACACACTCTTGTCGCTCAAAGTTTTGCAATCACATTCTGATTGCAGAAGATTGTCTCATTCTGGGAGGCATTCAGAGGCAATGTCTCCCGGAATGAGACACTGTGACCGACAAGAGTGCACAATACACTCTTGTCGCTCAAAGTTTTGCAATCACATTCTGATTGCAGAAGATTGTCTCATTCTGGGAGGCATTCAGAGGCAATGTCTCCCGGAATGAGACACTGTGACCGACAAGAGTGCACAATACACTCTTGTCGCTCAAAGTTCCGCATTCAAGTTATGAATGGGGAACTTGATATCATTCTGGGAGACATGCAGTGACAATGTCTCCCGGAATGAGACACTGTGACCGACAAGACTGCACAATACACTTAATGTTTTCAAATTTTCAGATTTAAATTTAATCTTTATTTTCATCATCATTTATAGTCTTGTTCCTTTATACAGTTATAATAAATTATCGTCAGATTCTAATATTTAAGATTCTTACTACTCAATTCAATATAATTATGTTAGTCACTCATATTCAGGAGAATAATTTAAAAATCTATAGCTCATATTTTGATAGTTATATATTTAGATGATATATATTGCAATTCCGGTTTCAACACGATCAAATGCCAAACCAAGACAAAATATATATGAATTTTCAAAATATCGATTTACATTAGAATCTATATCTAATTTTATCAATACACAAGTAGTGAATGTTCAATACATCTTTGAGCAACGTGAATAGCACAATTTTATAGGATTATTAGTTGATTATATAAAATATAAGCCAAATCGAATCTGCTGTATAGTACTTTAGTTTATCATTGAATGTTAAATGTGTTCATATAAATATTTGAGTCAGATATCGCATTTTCTAATTTCAAAATTTATCTCATGAAGTTAGAATTTATTTGATCATACAACATCATGCTAGTCAAACCAGAGTTCAATGGCGATTCTAAAATGGAACAAATGCTTGTTTTATCAAAATGTTAAAATATTAATCTAAAAAACTTAATATCTAACCAAACCATTCTAGAATTATTATATACAGGTATGGGCAATCTAAATGCACACGGAATTCGGAAAATTAAAAAGAATATTTATGAGATTATTAATCTTATGTAATTCAATGAAAAGTAGATAATATGAATATCCATAGGCTATATATCAACATATGAGTTTTTGGTTTGACCAATACTATACTAATGTGATCAAATTAATCTGATTTCTTAGATTTTCATTTGAAGCATTTGCAGTAGTAGGGGTACCTTTATATATTAACATATTAAAAAATTGCGCTCCGATTCGCAGTTTCTTCATGATTTTGAGATTGCATTAGATTTCGCGATGCAGAAAAAAATCACTTTAGATTCCAGTCAAACTCTAAGTATAAGCATGTATCTATATGTGGAAACTGTCTGTGCTATTTATTTCCCGGCTCAAAAAACCACGGTGTCTGTGTGAGGAAAATACCCATTTTAGGACCCTGGGTAGGGGGTCATGAAAATTTTCCAAGAGTTGGAAATATAGGGTAATGCAATGGATTGGAAATCAACCAAAATCTCCAATATTTCTTTCAGGAAAATGATGTTATAGATATGCAACATATATTTCATAATATTGCCATAGTTTTCGGACTTTTTCAAATTTAACTCGATTGTTTTCTTAAATCTAAGTATTTAATGTGTACAAACGTATAGTTATATATGCCTTTCCATTTTTAATAATAATATTAAAGATTTGAATTCCAAAACGAGTAAAAAAAATCGTTTGCAAGCATTCAAATTTTCAGAACTTTTAACGTTCATGAAAATTAGAATTTGCAAACGATTAAAGAAATTGTTTGCAATTTGGACGGAGGCAAGCTTCGCCCAAATTGCGAACATTTTTTTTAATTTGAATCCCAAAAATCAAAATTTATCATATGATTATTTTTTCCCCTTCAATGCTTGAATGAATTATTGAAAACAACAAATCTAAAACTAAGTTTACAACTATTTAATCTTTCAAGTTCCCCTCAGAAATGGATATTTTTTTTCTCTTTAAAAAATATTTCTGAATGGAATAGATTCATATATTTTCCCATCATTCATTCAATTTCCGACATGTGATGAAATACTTGATGGATTTTCAATTTTTATCCTTTAAAATGAATTAATTCAATTTTAATGTGACTCAATAATTTTCCCAGTGTTTTGAATTCAATGTTGTGTGGAATGCTGAAAAAGGAATTCATAAATTTTAATAATTGTTTCTTGAATTCAATTTTGAATTCACTCCATATATATTGATATTCAATTCATTTTCATTTTTGTAGAATGATGCTATTTTTCTTTACAACTTTGGCACGTCAAAGAATACAATGCGATGACATTGCATCACCACTTCCGTTTCATGAACCTGTTTCTATAAAATGTACAGGACTTAATGCAGATTTGCGATATACTGTTCGCCTATCTGATTATTCTAATTCCAAAATTTATTCAACCACTGTTACAAGTCCCGATACCTTAACATTTGAAGTAACTGATGAATTAGAATAGACTTATTAATAAAGGCGCCGGAATTTATGAATAGGGTACCCTATTTATGAACGGTTAGAATTTGGAAAAACCGTCGCAAGTATGAAAACCCTGAATATGGAAAAACCGTCAAAAGTATGAACAGGTAGGTGATCGGAATCTTCATATTTTGAATTTGGAATTTCCAAACAAAAGTTGTTTCGAAATTCCAATCAATTTGGAATTTATAAACTCCAATGCTTATTCATAAATAAGTTGACAAGTGTGGATAACCCTTTATTTGTCAAATGGAAAAAGAAATTAGAAATAAGAATATTCATGAATTTAAGTTAAGATATAAGTATAAGTCTTCTTCAATAATTACAGAAATTATTCAAGTATATTTGCATTTAGTCTAAAAATTAATAAAATCTAAATTAATTTAGAAGATTTTTTTAGAAAAAAGTGAAAAACAATAGCATATAGTATAGGGATTATTTCTAATTTCCATACATAATTGATTATTAGATTCTTGTTTCGAAATTCCAATCAATTTGGAATTTCGAAACAACTTTTGTTTGGAAATTCCAAATTCAAAATATGAAGATTCCGATCACCTACCTGTTCATACTTTTGACGGTTTTTCCATATTCAGGGTTTTCATACTTGCGACGGTTTTTCCAAATTCTAACCGTTCATAAATAGGGTACCCTATTCATAAATTCCGGCGCCTTTATTAATAAGTCTAATTTAAGTATATGTTGATTACTAGTTCAGAAGATTATCTTCGTAAGGATGTAAAATTTGCGCGAGATCCTATACTAACTACAATAAATTTTTATAAAGAACCACTAACTGCAGGTAAATGGGCACTCCTTTTCTTTACTCTATCATTTGATTCCAAATATTATGATTCTGGATACAATACTTTTGATTATATCATTTCTTCAACTCAAAATGAAAACGACAATGTCTTTACAGACAACTCACAACTCGTTAAAAACATAAATGATAACACTTACTTATTCATTCCAAATACTCTGACAGATGGAACCTATTACATTATTGCTAGGGGTCATTATGTTGATGGATCTAATGAAAAAGTATCCAATATATTATCTAAGAGTGTAACAGTCAAGCGATCTTCAATGAAAAACGAAATCAATGCAGAATTAGATCAATCTAAAAGAGTATTAAGATACAATGACAGAGTCGATTTAAAGTTTACTTTTGACATTTCAATTCCATATGCTAGAATATTATTTAAAGTAGGAGACTATACAACGGAAATTTCGGACTACAATTTAGTAGTTGACCTCTTCCATGGTAATGAGGAGAGCCCTAGAATTCAAATTTCTTATGATCAATCCGAAATCCAACATAAACTTTCATTTGTATTAATTGACAAAGAAACATCAAATATTCTAAATCACACAGAAATCACTGATCTGACAATCATTCCAAAATTTGAAATTGAGGATATTCAGTATGATAATCCAAAGTATGATCAATCTAGTTATTTAGTTCAAAGCCAAGATGTTGTTTCTGGAACAGTCACTTGCAAGAATCAAGTAGCTATTGAACATTTGTCAATAAAATACAGTAATCAAATAGGTACTATTACCGCAATACCTGGGGAAAGTAAGAAATTCAAGTTCAAGATTGATATACAATTTGAAGCTAATGAAATGTATATAGATTTAAACTTTATTCAAAATAGTGAGACAGTAGATAAGGAATTTGGCTTTAGGATTTTGGATATGACCATAAATATCAATAAAGATTTACCTTTATCAGGAACAGTTGCAGGAAGCGTTAAGATTTCAAATAATATAAATAGTGAGCAACTTAAAATATGTGCTAAATTTGGGGAATACGATTGAACAATTTCTGCATATAATTTTGAAATTGACACAAGAAATGCTCTGCACGAATATTCAATTGATTTGGGAAATAAAATTTCATACAATACGGAAGCAGCTTTGCCAACGCAGCTTACATTTGTAACAATTTATAATCAGGTAATTGTTGTTCATAAAACAGTCAACTTGTTAATTCTTACACCGCCAAATATTCAATCGATCACAGATTCAAGCACATCACATGAATATGCAACAAATTCTAGAATAACTTTGAATATCAAGAGAACAAAAGCAGATGGGATGGAAGATTCAACCGTCAAATTTGAATTTGTTACTTCTGGAACCAACGACATGTCAAATCCAACAACAATTGATACAAATAAACCAGTAAAAGTTGCCAACACAGAAAATGATTACACATTTCGATTTACAGTTCCAAACAATGTTAATCCAGGTGAAAAGAATTTATTAATTAAAATAGTAGATCCAACTGGCCAAGAATCATCACTCTTCACAATTCCTGTAACAATCACACAAGGAAAACAATTAACAGCCAGTTCAATAACTTGCCATAAGACACAAGATATGATCCCGGACAATACTGAACAATTATTCAAATGCAATATTGATAACATCGAAACGAATCATGTATACTATAAAGCAAAGATTGGTTCATATGATTCGGGATCTCAATATTCACAGTTTAATCTTGATTTGCGCATGGAACCGGTTGGAAATGATAATGAATTCGATATTTATGTTCAAATTCCGAAACAAACATCCGAAAAAACTTCAATTTCATTTGCAATGATCACTTCCGATACAAACAATGTAATTAAATACTCTGATGTTACAGATGTAAAGATTGAACCAGAACCTAAGATTTCAGCTGTAAAAGTTGATTCTTATCGCGTAGAACCATACGGAATAACAAAATTTGATTTCAATTTAGATTATATATGTGACTTTCAAACAATCAGAGTTCAATATCGGGATTCTACTAAAACTAATGAGGAATTTAAATCTGTAAATTCAATATCTTCATTATCTTCTAATCGATTTAATGTTGTTATTAATGTCCAGAAATTAACTAATATACAATTTAAGTTTATTGACAAATTTGACAGATTTTTAGTTATCGAGCAAAAGTGTTATTTAGCATACATTTCGTTTAAGTGTGATTATAAAGAACGAGGCGATTACCAAGTAATTCAAGGACAGACAAAAACAATCAAATGTTCAGCTCTATCTGAGATGGATGGATATGCAGAACGTAAGTTTCATTTTGTAGATTATTCAGATGGAAATAAAAATAAACTAATGAAGACATCATCTGATAGCTCCGTTCAATTTGAACTTGCCCTTCCAATAATTTCTGAGATTGCCGAATTTAAAATTTATATGGAACGTGTGAACGACCCAACTCAATCCGAAACTGACATAGTAGAATTTGACTTAAATATGCCACTTAAAATAGATTTTGAGGTAAGCGAAATTACTGATACTTATTTCAAAGTATCAGTGCAAACATCAGTATTATATGAAGAAGAAGAAGATATATATATAACTTCATATTCAATTGAAGGGGATCCTAGTATAGAAAGTGGCGAAATCAGATTCAGCAGCCAAATAATGGGTGAATATTCAAACAATGTATTTACTGAAAATAAACAGTTACAAAAGAAGGAGTTTACTATGACAATTAAAATAAAATATCTTGGTTCACAAGTAGCAACTCTAACGAAGAATATTAAATATGATAAACCAATGAAGATATTGGAACAAGGAAGGAATATATTAAAAGATTCCATTTACCTTGCTTATCAAGGAACTAAAGTTTTACTCCAACCTGGCTCAACTTCTGCCAAGATTTCCGCAGAGCTGGGTGGTAAAAACTATACATTACTTAATAATAAAGTTGTTGCATTTGATTTCACTGATATGGGAAGACTCTATTGCAGTGACAATACTGAAATAATAGCAGTCGTCTTTAGTTTATCTGACTTACAAGCAGATGATTATTTGTATATGACTGGTAATGGAAAATTATCCATTGGAACAACAAATGATTCAAGATATAAATTCGATCCTTCAAAAACATTAATTTTTGTTGTTACTACTTTTGATGGTAATGGAGAGTTTACTGAATTTTCGGATTATGATACTGATGCGCTTCGGATTAAGTACTATGATATCGATCAAAGTCGTATATTTAATTCAAGAAGAGCTTTAGCAAATTATCAGAATTTCAGAATTATCAGAATAGAATGCTTAGATCCTTCATATCAATTTAAACTGAATTACGAAACAACATCATCAAATGATAAAGAAACAATATTAATTAACTCCCAAAGTGGCACCCACAAATTTGCAGTTGTTGAACAGAACTCCAACCCAGAACAAAAACCAGACCCTAACAATAACAACCCTAGCCCAGGCTCTAACCCTGAAACAAAATCAAGTCCAACCCCTGATGATAGCTTAGATACTAAAACAAAAGGTGGTGGAAATGGAGGATTAATTGCAGGAGTAATAATCGGTCTATTGATCGTCATTGCAATTGTCTGTGTCGTCGTTTTCTTCATCATGAAGAAGAAGAAGGATTCAATTCATGAGGATGCATCAATGGAAGAAGCTGTTGGAGTTTAAAAAAAAATTTCAACTCATTAACAAATTAAAAAAAAATTATTTTATCTAACTTTGAAATTTATATTTTTTCATTATAAAAAAAAAAAAAAAAAAAAAAAAAAAGGTAGTGGGGCTTCCAGGCACTTCGTGCCCTCTAGCCCCGAAGATGTTTAGAATATGAGAGAGGTCCTATAAACCGGAGAAAGTGTCATATAAACATCTGTCATTTTACTCAGAATTTTCATGAAATTTACACCAAAAATATATTTTAGGGTAGAAGGGTATATCTAACCTCTTTTCTAACCTCTTTTCTACCCTCTTGAATTTTCATGAAATTTACACCAAAAATATATTTTAGGGTAGAAGGGTATATCTAACCTCTTTTCTAACCTCTTTTCTACCCTCTTGAATTTTCATGAAATTTACACCAAAAATATATTTTAGGGTAGAAGGGTATATCTAACCTCTTTTCTAACCTCTTTTCTACCCTCTTGAATTTTCATGAAATTTACACCAAAAATATATTTTAGGGTAGAAGGGTATATCTAACCTCTTTTCTAACCTCTTTTCTACCCTCTTGAATTTTCATGAAATTTACACCAAAAATATACTACTAGGGTCATTTACGAAAGAAATCTCAACAAAGTCTTTACGATGAAGTCTTGACAAAGTCTTTACGAAGAAGTCTCAACAAAGTCTTTACGAAGAAGTCTCAACAAAGTCTTTACGAAGAAGTCTTAACAAAGTCTTTACGAAGAAATTCATGAAAATTCAAGAGGGTAGAAAAGAGGTTAGAAAAGAGGTTAGATATACCCTTCTACCCTAAAATATATTTTTGGGTCATTTACGAAGAAGTCTCAACAAAGTCTTTACGAAGAAGTCTCAACAAAGTCTTTACGAAGAAGTCTTGACAAAACATTTACGAAGAAATTCATGAAAATTCAAGAGGGTAGAAAAGAGGTTAGAAAAGAGGTTAGATATACCCTTCTACCCTAAAATATATTTTTGGGTCATTTACACTCATTTACGAAGAAATCTCAACAAAGTCTTTACGAAGAAGTCACAATAAAACATCTGTCAAAAACCGCTTTTTAACTTCACTTAAAATGCCACGTAAGCTACGTAAGAATATACGTAAGAGGAAGAGAGCATTGAAACATCCAATAGTAAAACTGACACCACAACAACAGTTGCAACAACAAATGATGAATGACCCCACTATGTTGCAACAAATGTCAAGCAACCCTATGCTTTTAAACCGAGTTATTGGTGCACAGAGTGGAGGTTTAAGAGCGGCACTTTTAGCGAAAATGGCAGGCTATGGTGGAGCCGCAGACGGAACAGCCTATAACCCTCAAAGTCAAATGAATTTGAGTTCACTCAAAAATCAAATAACAGATGTCAAAAAGTCAAACATAGACATACAGAAGCAAATAAGTGAAAACGAAAAGAAACTAGAATATGACAGACACACAAAGAAACTCAATGAGTTAAACGTAGAGAAAAAGAAGAAAGAAGAACAACTGAAAGAACTAAGTACAGAGGAATATGCAAAAAAAGTGTCAGAAAAAGCAACAGAAGTAGCAAAAATGGAACAAGATGTCATAAATTTGAAAAACCATACTACTCAATATAAAGTACTGAAAGATGAAGAGATAAAACAAAAAGCCCTGAAGACATATATGGATAGCGATGAGTATAAAAAAGAAGTTGAAGCAAATGTAAAGGCAGAAAAACTTTTACAGTTGCAAAACCAAACCGTACAGTATGAAAACTTAGCACAAGAAAGTAAAAATAACGACGCGGCTATGCAAAAGGCAATGAAAAGCGCAGAATATATAAAAGCTAACAATGACTGGTTAGATGCCCAAGCCAACGCTAAAGCAGCCCAACTCATAGGGTCAATAAGGACAAAAATACAAGCGGATGAAGACAGTTCAAATGAAGCTTTAACAAATGCTGACTTTAAGAACGCCTTCGAAGCTCTTCATAGTAAGGTGAAACAAGTGAACGACTTCTCATCTGGAAAGAAACTGAAGTCTGAAGGTTTCGACAAAGAGTTAAAAGAAGTAGCACAAAATATGACGAAAATAACAGATGCAGCAACGAGACAGGCAGTTCAAAGTGCCTATGACGCCGTTAGAGCAACTGTTGTGAAAAGTCAAGAAAAAGAGTTACAACAGACCAAAACAGACCTAGTAAATGCTTTCTTAAAAACGAAAAGTCAGGTAGGACATTATGCTGCAGATGGAACATATGTGCCAGCTGGTGGAACTTATATACCACCAAACCCTCCAAGAGAAGCACCTGCACCAGGACTACCTAGAACATTTACATCGTCACATGGACACAGACACAGGCATGCACCAAAACCAACACAACAACCAACACAACAACCAACACAACAACCAACACAACAACCAACAGTTCAAAACCCTGCACAACAACAACCACAAACAGAGCAAGGACATAAAAGAAGTAGAGAACAAGGAAACCAAGAATTCTTAAAAATGCTTAAAGAAGAGTGTGGTTTCCCAGATACTGTTGACTTTAGTGACAGATATAAAGAAGCTATTGGAAAGTTCAAGGATGGAAATACTGACCCGAACCTATTTAGCTTTATGGCTCAGCACCAAAACGGATATAATCTCAAACCTGGAAAATACAAGCTCGCTAAGGGATATGATTTAATAGCATATCATCCAAATGACATGGATGAATTTACTCCGAGATATTTGATGTCAGAGCTAAATGACAATTCAACTTTCGTCATGAAACGCGTAAAAAATAGAGACGGAACGAAAGAACAAAAGCTTATGAATGCGGATGACGTAGATAGGGAAATTGTTGAAAACGGTCTCGGAATATATGAAATGCCAGCAGATGAGGTACAAGAAACTCCACAGGAAGAAGTTCAGATACAACCAGACATGGAAGAAATAGTTCAGCAACAACAGCTAGAAGAGCCTGAAGGAAACGAACAAGTCACTCCTTTGGAAACTAACTTCACAGAACTAGATGAAGATTTGGAACAGCCGAAAAATCTTGACCCTCAACAAGAGTATGCGGAGAATATGGAATATTTCCAAGAGTCTAAAAAAAATTCGGCTGACATAGTAGAAGAATATCGAAAAATGTTTGCCGACATACAAAAGACTCCAACACCAGATGAAAATATTCAGCATAGAATGAAAGTACTGAAAGAAAATGTACACAAATACAACAACCCTTTTTACTTACGAGCATTTAACGTTCAATCTTCGGATGAACTCGGTGAAAATAAAAGGTTAAATTTCAAGAAAACATATAGAAATGAAACATTGTTTAAAGTTCATTCAGAACCTAACCAAGATGGAAACAAACCTACTTTTGTTTCTGCAGACGATGGAACTACAATGAGATGGGGTCATAAAGCTAATCCAGATAGGTGGTTCATAAACTTACAACCACAATTCCAAGAAGTTGTAGACGCAATGGAAGTCAATGGTGAACGAGACATAGCTGGTATTTTAAGCGCGGCTTTAATGCCATTGAAAGATATGAAAGATGCAGATATTTTGAACCAGTATGAAATGAACATGGCTGATGGAAATATAACACCTGACGTTCTAGAACATTTATCTCAAAGAACTACACAGAACCATAGAGATGGTATATTTGGTGAAGAGTTTAGAAAGAAAGTTAGGGATAGAGAAGGAAGAGAACCTATTGTACATGACCTTGCAAACGAAAGTTTACAAAATGTCATAAAAACTTACTTTGCAGACAATGAACCGAGAAGGGATGAATATTTAAGAAAACTCAAATGGACAGTACCAAATGAAATGTTAGTATTGAAAAACATGTTCCTTGACAAAATAAAACCAACTACAGAAATAAACGACGCAAGACTGAAAGATTGGGTAGAAGCTTTCCCATTCACAAAAGATATAGTTGGTAACATGGAAAGAAAACCAGAATGGCTACAAAAACATATATTTGGAAACGAGCATATTCCATATGGACAGGCACTGTTTGAAGAGCTTGAACCGGAAACTCAGGAAAGAGTCATGCAAACAATACGCGAAGACTCAAATACAGACTATGACAAACTCTTTCTAGGATATAGGTTACCTGAGATGGGCGACCAGAGCCAAAAGGCAAAAAGGACATGGGAAATTTGCAACATACTAGATGAACATAATGCAAAGATGCAACAACTTCAAGCAGAGGGCAATGAAGGAAAAAGAAGAGTTAAAAACTCAGTCAGGAAGAAAGTAAAGCTTGGTCCACGTGGGTTCTATTATGACATATAAATCCAACTATTCTATATTTTTACTCATATGAAATGTACGCCGCTCAGAATATAACGCCAACAGTTTTGGATGCTATGAATGGAAATGTTTCCGAATGGTATAACGAATGCGACAATGCCATTAGAAGGTCAGAAATAGTTCCTGGAACTTACGAATATACAACTGCTGTTTCTTATGGAAACGTAGGTGAGTTTGGAGAAGGTTCTTCAACAACAGTAGATATTGCTTGCGACAGGTTTCATATAATTTCTATTGACAACTCTTTCTTATACGTGGAACAAGACATTGAAATAAAACCTTCTGCCAAGTTGTCTGACAAGAAAGGTTGCAATGGAATTTTCTATGTCGGATACCAATATGCTCCAGAAGTTTTCATGGGATATAAGATATATTCTAACTCTGACTTAGTTCAAACAGTAACATGGGCAAACTATGAATGGTTCGCTTTGAGAAACTCAGTACAACCACAAGCTAGAGAACAAACAGACCAGTATGCAAATATTGAGAAAATAAGAAGACTTGACCCTAACGTTCCAGGAGTTTATGTTAACCTTTCTGGTTCAGATGGAACTGCTGCCACTAAAGTAAAACTGAAACTTAGAGTTCCTTTGTCATCTTTCCTCATCTTCAGGTTTTTAAGATACTTGCCAAACTGGGCAGGAAAAATTTCTATTGAACTTACTCCAAGCAAAAATAACTTAGTCATTGCACCAACACAAGACCCATTCAGCATTACTATAGCTGGAACTGGTGGAGCCAAGTTCTGTGACTTTTGCAAAGACAAAGTTGACTTAGACTTTGGTTTCTCAAACTTCAACAATGAAGTAAACTATTATTTCAATGCTGCTGGAACTGCTTGGGACCCAGTTAAGTTCACATGCGAAAAATTTGAATGCAAGAGAATAGAAAGCAGACTTGCAGTCTATATGTTGGACCCAGATATTTCAAATGCTTTAGCTGCCAAATATATTGCAGTTCCACTTATGTTCCCTATACACCAAATATCTGTCAAAGACTTTGCAGGTGAAGTTGGAAACCAAAGTGCTGACCCAGGTGCAAGAACAGATATTGCTTTAACAACTGCAATGAAACATGCAGATACTCTGTTTGTACTGTTCAGACGAACTATAAATGACTATTCTTGTTTCTACAACCCTGGTATTAAATATCATATAAACATAGATGGCAAATATTATCCAAGAGAAGAATATTCCACAGTTGAAGATATGAGGTCATACAACTTGACATTAGATGCTATGAACTTTAACAACAACTTCACAACAACCATTAACCCTGAAATGCAAAGTTCTATTATGCCATATGTGAAAGTATGGACCCATACAGGAGCTCAAAAAACTCAATATACAAATGGAGACCGTTCAAACTTTTGGCTTGGCATTCCATTTGCTGACTCAGAAGACTTTATGGGTGGTATTTCAACTGTTGGTACAGTTCAAATACAATATACTGGTGACAGAGACGGTCCAAATGAATTGAAAGCAAAGAAGTTTACAAAACCAATAGCACTTTTCACGGAAGATGCTCTTTTGAAAATTCGTTCGATGAAACCTGCTGGGCTCCTCAGATTGGTATAACGACAGCTTCCATCGAGCAGATTTTGGCAGCAGGTCAGTAAGTTGTTCTTGAACTGACTTCTCTCCGTCAAATATTGACAGTACGCCAGTTTTGACATAAATTGTATTATAAACTTACCTTTAGAAATATCGGTCAGTTTTGTTGTTATATTTTTGTCAACGTCAAGAACTTTCACCATTTCGGTTATACCAACTTTCTTTGCTTTATGAAAATATTTTGGTTCAGCAAAGACTGCTATTCTATAACATTTTCCATTGTTTGTGTAAAGAACTATTCTGTCAATGTATTTGTATTGTTTGTGTGTGTAAACCTTGTTTTGCTTCAATTCGAAGAGATACTCGAATACGTCCATCTTTTTATTCTAAGTAAAATGTCATTTCCGAAAAATAGAAGCGTAAGTGTTTCAAAAGGTTTAATGGCGGTGGCAGATGTGAAGTTAAATTCACCAACTCAAACAAACAGTCAAAGTGTTGTTGTCAATGTCAAAGAAAGAGATGTTGAAGTGGGGAAACCATACGAAGACGAAAATGGTATATACAATAGTTCCTGTAAAAGAACAACCAACATACCCTGAAGTTAGCAGAGACTTAAGTTCTGTTGCAGATATTCGAAACGACTACCAACAACTGAAAGACAAACTTCAAACTCAGGAGAAGATTTGTCAGGCTTTAGGTATAATGTTAAACTTGGTTGAGCACAACCCTGTAAAAGTGAACTCATATGTCATTGCACCTCATGAAGTTTTGAAAGAACTATTGAAACTTTTGACAGAGGCAGACGATATAAACATCAAAGAAATAGAACCGACATTGCTTGCTGTGGTGTTTCATATAATGTCATTGACAAGATATACGTTATGAAAGGAGGTGAAACGTTGAACTTAAAGTATAGTTTCCCAGACGTCATAAAAATATTTGACGACCACAACATTTCATTAAAATTTAGTTGCTAAGTAAATGGCAGAAGACACAATGGTTTATACTATTACGACTAAAAACCCTGAGTCATATAATTCTATAACAACAAACTTACAAAGTCCTCAAGGACGATATTGTAAACTAACTTTAAACACAATGACGACTAAAGCCTGTTTTGCTCTTTTGACACCAGAAGACTTTATTGTTGTGAATGGTAAAAAATACTCCTTTGAAGATACTTACTCAGATATACCACCAACAGGTTTTGTTGACTTATTTAATACTTTAAGGACGGATGTAACATGTGCTGCAACTAGAGCAGGTTTCATTATGTTTGGATGTCCGACTGAGTTTAGTATAAACGATATGAGCTATAATACAAAACTTATATCTGGTTTTTACTACCAACAGTTTCCTATAACAGGAAAAGGTGTCATACAAGGAATGTCTGTTCCATTGACTTTAAGTACACCTATTTTATATATTGTTTCAAACTTAGGTTCAAAGTGCTATTCGAATGTCGACAGAAACTACTATGACCAAAAGATACTCATGCGTATAAACAACACTTTCTCTGCTGGTTTGCCTATTGTTCATTCGAATGCAGAGTTTTCAGCTTTAGTGAACTCAAACACTTTAGCAAACATAACGTTGACATTAGTTGACGCAAACTTTGTTCCTGTAAAACTTTTATGTCCTATGTATTTGTCAATGACGGCAGAAAGTTTCGAATTGGAAGATGCAACTGGTGAAAGTATTGTACTACAAGAACAACTTCAACAACAAATAGCTCAAGAACAACAAATGCAACAAATGGAACAAATGCAACAACAAAGTCAAGAATAAAAAAATAATATTTTTTTTATTTTTATAAAAATGTACAGAATAGATGTTTCAGATTTTTATGACTTCCAAGCATTCAGAAATATGTGTCCATTTAGAGACTATAACAAAGCAGTCGAGAATTTGAAACGTTTAGTCATTTATGTTGACTCTGCCCCAGAATGTTATGTCATGAAAGAATGGGATGTTGTCTTTAACAAACCAAGAGCGACAATAGTTTCAGAACAAGAATGTAGACAGAAACTTAAGAAAATAAAAGTCGTACAAGTTGGTATGAAGATGTTAGATGCTTGGGATATCTTATTGTCAAAACTTGAAGATTTTTCAGTTCGTGGTATAAAGTTTTATACACCTTCTCCAAACTTCTATTCTATCTTCACTGGATATAAATACGAACAAGTAGAATGGAAAGAAAATATTATAGAAGCTTGGTAGACCATGTCAAGAAATTATATGCAATGGAAACGAAAAGGTTTATGAGTATATCTTATGTTGGTTTGCAAACATCTTACAATTCCAAGTGCTAAAAATGAAACTGCTCTCATTGTAATTGGAAAACAAGGAACAGGTAAGAACACTTTCTTTACAGATATCTTATGCAAACTGTTAGAGGCTATTCGAACCGCGAATATGACAAACTTAGAAAAACATCTGCGGTAAATTTAACTCTTCAATAGAGAATATGAAACTTATAGTATGTAACGAACTTCAAAGTATAGATACAACAAAAGTTTTAAACTCAGATGCTTTGAAGAGTCTTATAACAGACAAAGTTGGAGTTGTTGAAAGAAAATATAAAGACCAAAGAGTTTGTGAAAATGTTGCAAATTTCATTATGGTTCAAACAACGCCGTTCCGATGAAGTTAGAAAGTTCTGACAGAAGATATGTAGTTGTCAGAACGTCAGATTCTCATATGCAAGATACAGAATATTTTGACGACTTAGCAGAAACTTTGACACCTAACTTTTACAACCACTTGTTCTCATATTTCATGACATTAGATATTTCTAAGTTCAATCCAAGACAAATTCCATATACCGAAGAGAGACAAACGTTGTTAGAAGCAAACAAGAGTGTATATGAACTGTTTATAGATGAGACTAACTTTGAGTGTTTAGATGAAAGGTCATTGTACGATTCGTATAAACAGTATTGTCAAGAGTATGGTTATATGGCAGCTTCTAAACGAACATTCTTGGCAAATGTCAAAAATCTTTTAGACATACAGAACGGCGTATATACAAAGAAAAATTTTTCTGAGTAAATTTTAAAAAAAATATTTTTTATCCGATAGAAAAGATGACGAAATATATTTCAGTCAACAAATATATGTCAGGACTTAAAGAAGAACTAGACCCATTCGCTTATTTGAATGTTTACTTCTACCATTTTGAAAAGTCTACATTTGACAAAGTTTGGAACATCGAACCAGTTAAGTTTGCTATTGTGACTAAAAATGGTGCGAAATTTGAAGACTTAGACATAGAAGGTTTGTTAGCAGTCAAAGAAAATTTTGACAGAAGGTTTTCAAACCTTAAAGAAGGCAAAGCATACAAACTTGTTATACCTTATGAACCAAAGAAAGCAGACGACTATGAATATATGAGTCTAAGATAGTTGAAGTTCAAGGTAAATTGGGTAAAAAGATTTTAGAGTCTAAGCCAGTGTTTGCTCCTAAAGAGGAAGAGAACATTGACATTGACCCAGAAATGTTCTAAAAATAAAATTTTATTTTACATGTCAAATTTCTTTTTCTCTGGAACTGGTTCAGGTTCTTTCTTCTCTTCTTCTACTTTCTTTTCTTTCTTTTCTCTCTTCTTCTTCTTCTCTGGTGGAGTTATGTCAAATTTGGCGCAACCATATTTATGTAAAAGTTCTTTGTCCTTTAATAGCTCTTCTATTCTGTTTTCTATTTCATCTTCAAGAACAGCGCATGTGCCTTCTTTGCATTCTAAGAACTTTTGTTGGACTTCATCTTTCCAATCGGCGTCATCTCTGTCAACAAGTCTGTCATTGACAAACTTAAAGACTTCTCTGCCTAATGTTTTATGGTTCTTGTCATATTCCCAGAAACAGAACTTTAGAACAAATTCACCTTTCTTGTTTACACTATGTAAGATTTTATGGTCGACAGATGTTTTGCTGTCAAAAAGTTTGTCTCGAATATAGATAGCGAAATCACTAGACATTTTCTAAAAGATAAAATTTTTAATTTTTCTAAAAATATGTTAGAAAAAAAGTTTGCTGACATTGACAAGAAATTTGAGAATGTTTTAAACAAGAACAAGAGGAAGTTAGAAAATGCTCAGATAAAACCCATACATGACAAGTTCCTATTTGCTCAGAATGGTATAACAGGTCTAATCGCACCACCTGGGTCGGGTAAGACTTTCACTTATCTTAAAATGGCTGCACAACAACAAGAACTAGATGAGAAGAACCCATTCTATGAGTTAGTTGTTATTTGTAGTACTTCTGGTCAATTCGATCAAACCGTCAATTCGTTCAAAGATATTATAAAAAAGTCTAAGTTAGTATGTATAAAAGACTCTGAGTTGTTGGATTGGATAAAGAAGTACCAAAGAAGAGTTTTGAAGTACAATGCTATAAATGAGTATGTCAATTCGAAGTTTAAAGACCCAAATGAGGAAATGCAGAGAATATTAGAGAAGAAACACTTCAGAAACAAACAGAAAGAGATAGAATACATTTCGAAGAAATTGCAATCTTACGATTGGAAGACATACCCTCATAGATGTCTTCTTATCTTAGATGACTTTGCTTCTCATCCTTTGTTAAAGAACAGAGAACAAGACATGTGTCGAATTCTTAAGAAGCTCAGACACTTTAACATTTCAGTCGTAATATGTGTACAGACAGCCAAGAGTTTAAGTAAGGATGTTAAAAGAATACTTACTGATATCATACTTTTCCCTGGATTGTCCGAAGACGATTTCATGGAACTTATGAAAGAGTCCATGGCAGGTAAGTTTGACAGACATGAACTATGGGAGAAGTACAAAGTCATACAAGACCCTCATACTTCTTTCAGAATTCACATCTACGCGAACAAAGTTCAAATTGTAAAAAGTCAATAAAAATAAAGAGTTTTAGTCTTAGTCTGTTGTGGTGCTGGGGCTGTCGGTTCTTCTGGCTTTGGAATGGACTCGGTTGGTGGTACGTCGGACATTCGTTTGTGTCCTGTCGGAAGGAAGAACTTTTTCTGTTGGAAGGAAGGACTCGGAATGTCGGAAGGAAAAACTTTTTCTGTCGGAAGGAAAAACTTTTTCTGTCGGAAGGAAAAACTTTTTCTGTCGTTCGACCAAAAAGTTCTCAATTTTCGAAAATTTGAATGGTTTACGGACGAACAACAGGAAAAATTTTTCCAGTTGTCGGGAAATTTTTTTCCAGTTGTCGGGAAATTTTTTTCCAGTTGTCGGGAAGAACTTGGAATGTCGGAAGGAAGAACTTGGAATGTCGGAAGGAAGAACTCGGAATGCCAGAAGGATTTGACAAGGCAATTTACTTTATAGAGCTACCTGAGCCATCTGAAGTCAAGCTTGAAAAATAAAGAGTTCATTTACTCTACTTGTTTGAAGTTGTCAAAATACTCTGTTATTTTTTCTTTCAGTAGCGGTAAGTCTTCTTTGAAGGTAAGTATTGTACAACCTTTCATATCATAGTGTGTTTGAGGTAACGTATCTTGAACTATTTGTTTCACATCTTCATTTGGAGTCATTGAAATCGTAAGTTTTCGCGATAGAACCAATTTCTGTCAGATTTGTAAATCTTAGCAAGGTCGTAAAAGCTTTTGTTGTTTCTTCTGACTAAATGCAACATAACCATATCTTTATCTTCTTCATTTTCCATCTCTTCAGTATAAATCATATACTTATAGTTCTTTTCCTTACCTTTTGGTACCGAACGTGGTATTCTTTTCTGAATGTTTTTGTCTTTTGCTTCAAGCTTGTTCTCTAGCTCTTCACGTTCTTGTCTATGAATTTCGTCAAGAAGTCTGTAAACATGCCATGCATAACGAGGCGAAGCCCACATTGCAACAGCATTTACAAGAAGTCTATGAACATAATATCCTCTCAAACCATTTGGCAATTTTTCACGATTTTCATAGAGTTTTGGCGACTGGGTTTTTTTACCTACTCGCTGTTCTTCACTGTTTTCAGAAAAAAGTATGTCTCGCTGTGCTTCGCTCAAAAGTTCTTGTGTGCTTTGGTTCCTAAACCAGTCTTTAGGAAGCTTAGTATCTGGAGCAAAACATGCTGTCAAAATACTTTGCATTTGGTACATGTCATCTTTGACCGAACGAATGAGACGGAGTTGTTTGTTAAACTGAACCCACTCATATTCTTCATTTATAGCTTCATGAACGATAGCAGTTGTTGTGTTCTCTGTTGTTGACATATCTGTCTTTACATACAAAATAAAAAAATAAAAAAAATAAAATTAACTTTATTTTTTCTATCTTAAGGAAATTCATGAAATTTGTTGCTGAATTCAATAAAAATATATTTTAGGGTAGAAGGTTAGATCTAACCTCCTTTCTACCCTCTTTTCTACCCTCATGAATTTTCATGATTTCATCGTACATGAATTTTCATGATTTCATCGTAAATGTTTTGTCAAGACTTCTTCGTAAATGTTTTGTCAAGACTTCTTCATCGTACATGTTTTGTCAAGACTTCTTCATCGTACATGTTTTGTCAAAACTTCATCGTACATGTTTTGTCATGATTTCATCGTACATGTTTTGTCATGATTTCATCGTACATGTTTTGTCATGATTTCATCGTACATGTTTTGTCAAGACTTCTTCGTAAATGTTTTGTCAAGACTTCTTCATCGTAATGAGCGTAAATCAGACAAAAATATATTTTAGGGTAGAAGGTTAGATCTAACCTGTCTTCTACCCTCTTTTCTACCCCAGTTATTTTATAAGCGTTTTACATGGTAAACGTTATGAATTCGTGAGACTCTAAACAATTTCGTAGCTTCTATTTCTTCTGTCAGTACATCGAATGTTTTAACAATGCCGAAGGTTTCTTTATATTTCTTCTTGACATCTGAAAGAAGGAAATCGTCAGCTGTTGGATAGTTTTTGTTTAGAAATGTCAACATGTCCATTTTATCTTCTGCTGGTTTCTCTACTTCTTTCTTTAAGTCAGCATAGTCGTTTTCTCATACGTTCTATCTCTTTGACGGAGTAGTTATATTTCCTCATTGCTGCTTTACATTTAGAACATTGTGGGTTCATTTTTGCGTTATATTCTGAAACCTTACCTGCTAGTATGACTAAGGCGTCAATTGCTCTCTTTAACTCAAAAGTTGCGGGTTTTATCTGTTCATTCCATATCTTACCTCTTCTATCTTTATCTCTTATCTGCCATACACATTTTGCAACTAACGAAACAAAGTTGTCGTAGGTCTTAAACTCCCCAGATTTGTATATGTCAGAGATGTTCTTATATACCATATCGCAATCTTTGTCCATGACTTTGTGGTTGCAATGAAATCCAAGAAACTCATAGTTAACCTTACGTATGAACTTCTTTATTTCAACTGAGTCAGTTGCTTTGACTTCTATTTCATCGAATTCTGGAATAGTGAGTTTTTGTTGTTGGATTTCAGGAAGTTTAGGTAGATGGTCAATAATATCCTGCATTTCATAAAGATACTGTTCATTTGTTTCATCTTTTGCACTACAGTTTAGATCTCCTTGGAGAAGTTCTTGCTTTATCTTCTGGATTTCTGTTTCGAAAGTATATGAAGAAGGAATGAAGCTTTTCATCTCTACTAACATTGACGTAGGATTCATGACTAAAGAGTTTGGTGCTGTTGTTGCTAACATGTTCTTACAATAAAAATAAAAAAATATTTTTTTAAAAAAACCAACTTTATTTCTTCTGTCTTAAGGAAATTCATGAAAATTCAAGAGGGTAGAAAAGAGGGTAGAAAGGAGGGTAGATCTAACCTTCTACCCTAAACATTATTTTTGGGTCCTTTACACTCATTACGAAGAAGTCTTGACAAAACATTTACGAAGAAGTCTTGACAAAACATTTACGAAGAAGTCATGAAAATTCAAGAGGGTAGAAAAGAGGGTAGAAAGGAGGGTAGATCTAACCTTCTACCCTAAACATTATTTTTGGGTCCTTTACACTCATTACGAAGAAGTCTTGACAAAACATTTACGAAGAAGTCTTGACAAAACATTTACGAAGAAGTCTTGACAAAACATTTACGAAGAAGTCATGAAAATTCAAGAGGGTAGAAAAGAGGGTAGAAAGGAGGGTAGATCTAACCTTCTACCCTAAACATTATTTTTGGTGTAAATTTCATGAAAATTCAAGAGTTTTAGACCATGTTAGAAAACGTGTTAGAAAACATGTTAGATCTAACATTCTAACATAAACATTCTCGTCAAATACAAAAAAATACAAAAAAATGACACTAACTTTATTTTCTGACTTTCACAAAAGACCAAAAATATACGCTTTACATGTATTTTTCAGCAACTTCGTCAAATAATTTTATAGCACTATCTATCTCATCTACTTCAAACGTTTCTTTACCTTTCGTGGGAGCACCATACATCTTCTCAAACTTTTCAAGTAGTTCTGTTTCAGCAGCTCTCATATCGTTAACAAACACAACCTTAACTCTATTGACTGTACTGTCATATCTTTGAGTTATATTATATGTTCTTCCTATCTTATATCTCTTTGTATTGAAGTCCTTCGGTTTCTGAACGATGTAAAGTAAGCCCTCACTGCAACGTTTCCGTATCGAATGAACCATATGTTATGAAATTATATCCAACAACTGGGTCAATCCATAACAAAACTATCGGTATAAGACTTTTGTCAATGAGATATGCTGTAGTTCCATAGAATCTTACCGATATCATAAGCTCAGGATTTCTTGTCAAAATTTTCTGAGTTGAAGCAATTCCAACCCAATGCCATGTTTTCTTTCCAGATGGAGATATAATGTCTGACAAAGAATATTTGTTGTATTTCTTTGAGTATCTTACGTTTAAATCACCTATTCTAACCACTTTGGTGTCATTGTCTATCTTTTTAACTGTTTCAAACTCAATGTTTAACATATCTGTTCTTACATACAAAATAAAAAAAATAAATAAAATAAAACTAACTTTATTTTTTCTATCTTAAGGAATTTCATGAAAATTCACCTGTTGAATTTTGTATAAAAAGCAACCCGCTGTTTTCCGACGGTTGCTATATTCTTCACAAAATGCTTGTTTTGAGGTCGAGCCACTTTTGGCTCCACCTCTTTTTTCAACCAAAATATATTTTTCAATACTTTTTCAGCACTTTTCCGTAGTTGTATATGAAAGACAATTCGAGATAAAAGTCATAGTACAATGGAATAATATGTTGCACACCATTTGTTGTGAACCAAACTTGAAAGTCAGAGAAACTGTTACTAGGTGGTTCGTAGAATTTAGAAGCAAAGTCATAAAAGTCCTTACCGATACAAAGAAAACTGTTGTTGCTTGAACTGAAACTTGCATGACACATAACATTTTGAGGGTCGAACACATTTCTATAAACTGTCAAATCTGTTGGTGGGTATAAATTTAAACGGACCGTCAGGTGGTAATGGTTCGTTCTGGTTTAGTAACCGAAGAAATTGTGCCCAAGAACGTTTGTCTACTTCCCAAAATAAAAACTGTGTATCTCTTCGAGGGTTATTTTCAATCCTTTGAAATGAAACTGTGGAGTTCATCTTGTCATATTCTAGTTTCAGATAGTAAGTTCCGTTTAGTAGAGAGTCGTATTTTTCTTGCAATTCCCAATAATATTTGTTCATTTGAGTTTGAAAGTCATTTAGAGTCTTCTCAAGGTTTTCGTCTGAACGAACTGTAAAGATTCTCATTTCATCAAATTTGTCTATTAGACCATCATCACCTCTATACTGCCCATGAAAATATACTGCGAACATAAAAGCGTTAGTTCTTTTTGAAAACAAAACTCTTCTAAATCCTATTGCCTTTGCATCTGAAGGACTTTGAAGCCAACGAATTGGAAAGTCAAACCTGTAAGCACCGGATGAAATTTCTTCATCTGATATAGTCCTACCGGCATTTGTGAAGATATAGTCTAACGGTTTTGTATCTACTACTTTTGTTCTTTGTTTTTCAACCTGAAACATTTAATATATGTAAAAATATACTGTTTTAAAAAATGTTTTAAAATGGTATGCAATGTTTTACTTCATGCAATGTTTTATTTCATGCAATGTTTTATTTCTGTCCCGTCTTCAAGTACACCCCAGTACTTACGCTTGGAGAGAACATGAACTTCGGAAAATACCTTGTCTAGCTTAAAACAGCCCATCTTTTCACCGACTAAACCCATTTCAATGAGTTTGTTATAGCCTTCTTCGTTCGTCATGAGTGCGTCGATGTTCTCATAGTAAACCTTCACTTTGGATTTGACTTCGGAGAAGAATTTGTTGTAGTTGTCAAGGACTGCCTTTGCGAACTGAGGATAGGACCAATGTTCGACAATAGGTTTTACTGTGGTTACTAAGCCATTTTGACCTTCGGTGAACTCGTACTTCAAAACAAAAGGGGAGAACCTTTCAACAAAGTTGTCGACCTTCTCATAATGTTTACTCTTCATCTCTTGAGGTTTCTTAATGGAATATCCCCATGTCGAATTCATAAGCAATTTGAGTGTCATTGCAAGTTTGGGGTTTGAAGCTTTCCTAATATCATACAGTTGTTGTATGACTTTTCCAACTGTATAGTTCCTTCCTGGGAACTCACCATCTTCGTTTGGAATTCCAGTCGGGATATATTGGACGAACCTCATGTATGCAGCGTTAAGGTCGACATAGTATATCTTTTCGTTTGAGTCGAACTTGTCGCAACCAATGGGTCCAGTTCGTGGAAATTCAAGTGAGTCTCTTATCTTCTGAGAAACTTCGCCTGCTATCTCATAAACATCGTCGAAGCAACCTGTTTCATATAAAACCTTCTGACCTAACTCCGATGCTCTCCAATACAATTTGACGTCAATTGGATGTCTCAATGGAAGTTTGTTTATAGCATCTTGAAGTTCTTGCAACCTCATTGGAAGTTCTTCTGGTTCAGGTTGGTATCCGAACAATCCAACTCCTTTTGGAACAGTGTACTTCTTTTGTGCTATAACTTTGTCTGGAACAACTTTTGGTCTTGCTAACAATGAAAAGTTTGTTTCGTCTTTTGGTACAAAAGTTTCTGTCAGCTTGTCATCTGGAATTGGTTCCAACAAACCTTTCTCGAAAAGAATGTTTACAGCTCTGACAATGTTGCACTTGCCTTTTCCGAACATAAGACTTTCGTTCAACATGAAGTGGTTGTGGACAATTGCAATCTTCAACCATGGTAAGTCTTTGTCAACAACATAGTCGTCATGTGAAGAACCTTTAGCTGTAGGTATGTTGACTCGGATATTGACATTTGCCAACGGTGCAATTTTTGCCAATTGACCTCTGAGAATGTACCTTGTCTTCACACATGACTCAAGATACTTCATCTTCTCATCTGTAACAAGACCAGAGTTCCTGAGACATGTAAGAATACAAGGTTCATTGACAATTGTTTCAATTGAATTGTAAATTCCATACCTTGTCAAGTCAATGTCAGACTTGTTTATGAACGGGAAGTATCCAGCATGTTGTCTGACTGCTTGAGGGTTAGGTTGGTACCATTCGAACTTCACAGCTTAAATTCCTTCAATTGCATTCAAAATGTCTGAGTCGGAGTCAAACATTTGTTCTCTCTTTGTAGTCTTGAAAGCGTCAAGAAGTTGTGCGGCTGTTGTGACATTGCCATGTGCATAGTAAATGTGACCGTCCAAATCTGTTACGGTTAGTCTGAGATTGTATCCTTTCTTATTTCCGTCTTGTATGGCAGCAAGTACACCCATGAAGCCTTCTTTGTTCTTTCCTTCGTCAAAGTTTACTGTAAAGGTTCGACCAGATGTAATTTGACTTCTAACTTCACGGTACTTTTCATATGCATATCTTGTTCTTTCCATGGGAGCATGTGCGTCTTCACCTTTTCCTTTTTTCCTCCTCAAAGGATGCAATTGTTCGTCATGTTTCCAGTAGAACCTGGCAAAGCCGTCGTGTCCTTCAACTTGAGGCTCACTAACATCGAAAGGCATGTCCATAAGACGTTCTTCTTCTAACCTCTCTAGTCTGTTTGGATAATTTGCGCGTGCTGTTTCCAAGTCCATTTCATAGCGAAGACCAGACAATTTGTCATAGACTTTTATGGGTCTTCCCTTCCTATATTTAAACTTCTTTGAAACTTTCCAACCATATCTTTCTAACTCTGCTTTTATTCTAGCAGATTTTCTATCCATTCTATATGGGGGCATTTTATAAAAATAAAAAAATATTTTTTTCTTTACTTTACATAACCGCCTGCTGCCATAAGTCTTTGACGCCAACCCATACCAGCTAATGAAGGTTGACTTGGTTTAGTTTGGAAACTAACCTTTGGTTTTGGTTTATCTTCAGTTTTTGGCTCCCCTTCTTCTATCGGTTTTTCGTCACTTTTCGGTTCCTCTGACTTTACCTCACTTGCAGGTATGGTTGTGTCGTTAACGTCTTCATAAATATCATATGCCATTTGTTTTTGTTTTCCTTTCAACTTTTTGTGTTTGTTGTAAAGTTTAGAATATTTCGACTCTAAGTCAATGAGATGTTCTATAATGAACTGTTGGTCAGTGAAGTAAACTTTTCCATCTGTTGTCTCGAAAGCTCCTTCAGACTTCAATATTTTATTTGTGAGAGTCTGTTTCTTTTTTGAGATACTAGCCGTTCCATTTCTATGAAAAGTGACTTTATAGTTAGGGTTTGTATTTCCAGACCTGGCACTTTCTATTATTGAATTTTTCTCTTCATCTGTAAGTTCTTTGACAGGTTTTGACAATGGTTCTGAACTTTTTGTTTGTGGTGTCAAATCTACCGTTTCAACTTCTTCGGTCATTTCATCTCAGTAAAAAATTTTAGTTTGGTTTGTTTTCAACTGGTTGTTTAGGTTTTTTAAGTCGGTCTAAAACTTCCTGAGGTATAGGGAGGACTTGACAAACACGTGGTTGTGTAACTGCTGGAAGTCGACAAATCCATCTTGAACCCATTTGTCTCAATGCTGTATTGTTCATTTCATCTCAGTAAAAAAATTTACATTCCCCACGTTTGAGGCGGTTGAGGTTGGTTGTTGTTTACCCACTGTTGTGCATGGTTATATCCTCTGTTAAAGAATCTTTCACCTTGGTCCATATAGTGTCCTGCTTGGTTATAGTAGTCATTTGCTTTGTTATAGTAGTTTCCTGCTTGTCTTCATTGTCCATCCATCCTTGAACTTTTCCTCTTGTTTCAGGATTTGGAATAAGATTTGCTGCATCTCGTGCTACCTCCCAACCTTTCTGTACAGTTTGTATAATAGGTTGTGCTTTCTCTTTCAGTATACCTAATGTACTCAAAATCTTCCTTCCAATCCAAATGCACCTCTGGCTATTGTTCCCACTGCGGGCAAAAATCTGGATGCAACTCCTGCTAATGCGCCAAATAAACCCATTTCTTACAGGGTAAAAAATGACGAATCCAAACAAGGACCCTATGTTTCTAAGGCAACAAAGAAAGCACTCATGGTAAAAATCTTTAGTTCAACACCAAATGCTTGGTTTATGGATATCTTGGAAAACATTCCGAGGTATAGAGAAGATGGACCACCATACTGGCTAATATTTGTCGGTCAAAACACAAGATACTGTGAAGCCATACCATTGCAGTCCAAAAATATTTTAGATGTGAAAACTGCTTTGACAATATTCGTTGACAAATACCATCCAACAAAACTGACATCTGACTGTGAAAGTTCTTTCAAATCAGACGATATTAAAAACTATCTGCGTTCAAAAAATGTAAACCAATATTTCATTGTCGACCAAAACCATTCTGCTCTTGGTGTCATTGACAGTTGTATAAAAATCTTAAGAGACTTAAACCAACCACAAGGTGGTGAGGTAGATGAAATGTCATATGACGACAAATACAGACATTCTCCATGGCAAAGATGAGACAAGTTTTAAATATTTACAATACCCGTAAACAAAAAGGTTTGGGAAACCACTCCCCCGAAGAAATGAAAAACAACCCCGACTTAGAGAAAGACTATATATTTAATAGTTTAGTCAAAAGAGACAAACAAGAAAGAATGCCAGGCTTCAAACTTAAGAAAGGTGACAAAGTAAAAATAGAAATACCTAAACGCGACCCATATGAAAATACTATTGACTATGACAACAATGGGAACCCGACAGGTACTCGCATTCGTGTTCGTAAAATAGAAGAAAGTATACAAGAGAATATTATGAAGTTTTAGGCAAACATGGCAAAATGTACAAACTGCAAGCAGAAGATAAAACTACTATTGTCAGACCTCGTTTCAAACTTGTCAAAGTTCAAGGTGGTATACTTTCAAAGACAGTTCCTAACAAATATAAGACAACTCCTGACGAATATGCTAAAGAAGTTGAAAATGACGACTAAGCATTTCTATACCATGCACAAACTGTCATGTAAGGTGGCATGTATTTTTTACCTAGTCCTGTAGATGTTGTTGTAAAAGTATGTTGGTGGTTTCCTCCTGGTTCAGTTTGTCGAAAAGTCTTTTTTGCTGAATGGTTATAATCTGGAGATAAAACGTCATAGCCAGCTTCATACTCTGAGTTGTATAATGGGTGGTCTCTTAATGAGTGGCTATGGTCGCCAGAAAAAGTTTGTTGTACCAGAATGACTATGTGGTGGCAAGTTGTCGACAGATATCGTTTTACTTCCACCTGTTTTCTTTGGAGTGTGTGCACAATACAAAAAACTTTCGAGTATTTGAGTCCAAGTTCCAAAACCAAGTACTACTTCTGGTCTGGTAGAGTTCATTGACGTATAAATAGAACCAACTGGGTAAATGGTTTGAAGTATTTCTGTCTTTAATGTTTGAAGCTCTGTTTTGTCTGCTTTCTTGTCATATAAATCTTGAGCAGTGAATTTAATATTATGTTCATCCTCCATGACATAAACATCTCTACATCTAATGTTTCTCATCGTTGTTATGTCGTCATCCGATGTTAAACCTTGTGGAAAGTTAGGAGGTTTACAATATATTGCATCCCCACCAGTTTCTTCAACCGTTCCTTCAATATTTTCTATACCAACAGTTGCGAAGAAGCTATGTGTATGTCCAACGTCACTTTTCCTGTTTAAGGTTTCTTGTAAGTTTGTAATATTTGCAATGGTATGTGTATGTCCAACGTCACTTTTCCTGTTTAAGGTTTCTTGTAAGTTTGTAATATTTGCAATGGTATGTGTATGGTTCTTATCCGCTTTAAGGTCTAAACATCCTGAAACCCACCCTGTATCGGCTTTACCTTTTAAAATCTTTGTTGTCCGTTCATGGTACCATTCAACCCTTTCTATAATTTTTTCATCTTTTTCATTCACATATTCCTTATCTGCCTTCTTCACTAACGCACTAGCCACACGTGCTAACTCATCGTCAACATACTCTTTGTCAGCTTTGTTGTCAATATCTGCCTTCAAAAGAAGTTCATCTATAGGTTTCTCGTTTAAAGTTCTTTTTGTTGGATTTATACAAACAGTATGGTTCTTACTGTCTTGAAATAGAAACTCGTCTGTCATTGGGTTCATTGTCAGTTTTAAGTTTCCTTCTTTCAATGACTCAGATATCTTAGAATAGTTTGAAAAGTTTGTTGTGTTCTTATTTAGAGCTTGCATAATGAGTTGTCGGTTGTGTTGTATTTCTCTCATAGACGCTGTTTCATTTGACATTTTTATTCTAGATAAAATATGCTTCCAATAGAAAAAGAAAATTCAAGAGTTGCTACAACTAAACCATTAGATGAACTTTTACTAATGTCGGTCAAAAGTTTGAGACAGAGACCGTAAAGCATGAAGGCTATCGTTTTGACTACCCATTAAGATGGTTAAGAGACCCATCCGTCACAAAAGCTATTGGCTTTCGTAGAATGAAGTTTGTGTCTGTAGAAGATAAAAGTTTTCCATTTATTGTAAGGTTTCATATAGATTATATATCTGAAGGGAAACGAAAAATGTGGGAAGAAATTGAGCTAATACAAGTTGACCTTTCATCTTCTCTACAGACTGCGTTAAAAAATATAGAAGATAAAATAAATTCATGTTATGCAAAATATGCTGATGAATATGCAAATACCGAGAGCACACTTTATGTGAGAATTGTATATGACAAACAAAATTCACAAGTGTCATTTCAAATCTACGAAGACAATCCAAAGAAAGACGAACAAATATATACAGAATTCACTGCAATGTCATGGTATTATTTGCAAAGAATGTTAAATCAGAAAGTCAAACTTCCTTTAGCAAATATTTACAGTCGATATGCAAGAGATGAACCATATTTATTTAAAGATGTTTTCGACCCAGCTGCTATTATTGTTCATGCTTCATTTTCTGGCGCCCAAAACTCTTTCTTATGCTTGGCAAATGACTTTTACGAAAAACCTACAAAGTTATATGAACCACCAAGTGGAAGTATTTCAGACTTTCAAGTATGGTTTACTACAGATGGAAGAAAGAGAATAATTCCATTATACCACGCGTTTTACTTAGAACTTAGTTTCATATACAACTACTATCGAACGGTAAAAATATAATTTTTAATACGGTTGAGGTGTTGGATTTGGTTGCCAACTAGACTGTGGTGCAGGTTCAGGCTGTTGTATAACAGGAGCTTGTTCTTCTGGTTCAGGGTCTTTAGGTATAATACCAACGAACTGACCTACTCTTTTACCAATATTTTTGACACCGTTCCAAATTCCTCTTCCTACGGTTTTTATTCCATTCCATATACCTCTTCCAACATTTCGAAAGAAGTTTCCTATCTTACTGAAGAAACCCATTTTACTATATGTAAAAATCTAATGTCCGCCTAGTCTCTTACGTTTCCTGTTGAGTTCCATAGCATTCTTTAACTGGAGCTCATACATTCTGTTTCTCCTCTGGTAGAAAACATATTCTGGGTCAACTCCTGTGTTTGCGTCATCTGCATAAAGTTGTTTATATCCCACTTCAGGGTTTGTATAAAACTCTTTCCATCTCATATTTGCATACCATGGTGGCAAACCTAACGCAGCGTCATTTGACATGGCAGTTTGCATTTGTACATCTGTTGGCACTTGACCATAGTTTGCCATTGCAGTTTGTATTCTAACTTCATTTGGAATATTCTCTGGGTTTGGTTGTCCAGGTTGCTGTGCATTCGCTAAGTTCTGTGCGTCCATTTAATATTAGATAAAAATATCTCTTACGAGTACATATACTGGACATTTGCAGGCATTGGTTCATCTTCATATTCTCTGTACTTTTCTGCCACGTCAAATAAATAAATGACACAATGGAAAAAACCTAAAACAAGTAGTCCTATTTCAAACCACATTTACTTACTAATAAAATTTCTTTATTGTGACACTTTCTCCAGTTTATAGGACCTCTCTCATATTCTATCTTATCGTATCTAAACTCATAGTCATGTATGTCCTCTAACCATCTCATGACACTTTCCAAACCACTTTTATCGGATGTAAAGTAAAAGCATGGATGGTTATGTAAAACGTCTAAAGTTTCTAAAGAGTCTCTCAAAGTCCAGTCTACTTGGTATTGAAAATCCCATGTGTTATAGAACGGCGGGTCCACTATAAAGAAAACATTTTCCTTGTCTTTATATTTTTCATACAAATCTGTCCAATGACATCTCACAAACTCTATACCCTCAATATATTTTTCTATGTTCTCTTTGAAAACATTTGTATAGTTAAGATATAAAACTTTTGACATAAGTGTTTCAATGTCATGAACTCTTATAGCACCACTATATAATAGTCTAGCAGATATACTATCCCAGTCAATATACTCTGCCTTTTTCAAAACCTCTCTGACAGTATTTTCTTATCTAATGGTATACGTTCCATCTTACCTATAGGTATCTTTTCTTTTAACTCTTTCAATATTTTGTTTGTGTCTGGTATATGTTTGAGACGGTTCATATAGTTGTCGAAGTCATTGCATATAATCTTTGAGTCAGGAAATATTGTATGGCACAAATGAGATATATAGAAACTTCCACCGAACAAGTCTACAAATGTTAGACCATTCGGTAGTTTCTTAAGTTCTCTCAATAGAATATCTTTACATCTACTCTTATTTCCAAAGAAGGGTAACGGTGGTTTTGTAAAATTCATTTTATATATATAATAAAAATGTTTTTACCCGAAAAAGTGACAGAAAAGCGGCTTTTGACAGATGTTTTATTGTGACTTCTTCGTAAAGACTTTGTTGAGATTTCTTCGTAAATGAGTGTAAATGACCCAAAAATATATTTTAGGGTAGAAGGGTATATCTACCCCGTTTTCTACCCTCATTTCTACCCTCTTGAATTTTCATGAATTTCTTCGTAAAGACTTTGTCAAGACTTCTTCGTAAAGACTTTGTTAAGACTTCTTCGTAAAGACTTTGTTGAGACTTCTTCGTAAAGACTTTGTTGAGACTTCTTCGTAAAGACTTTGTCAAGACTTCATCGTAAAGACTTTGTTGAGATTTCTTCGTAAATGACCCTAGTAGTATATTTTTGGTGTAAATTTCATGAAAATTCAAGAGGGTAGAAATGAGGGTAGAAAACGGGGTAGATATACCCTTCTACCCTAAAATATATTTTTGGTGTAAATTTCATGAAAATTCAAGAGGGTAGAAATGAGGGTAGAAAACGGGGTAGATATACCCTTCTACCCTAAAATATATTTTTGGGTCATTTACGCTCATTACGAAGAAGTCTTGACAAAACATTTTACGAAGAAGTCTTGACAAAACATTTTACGAAGAAGAAGTCTTGACAAAACATGTACGTTCATGTTTGACAAAACATGAAAACATATATAATTTGTGAAAAGCTCCTGGAAGACCCGTATATATAAGAACTTCATTTATACTAAACATCTTCAGGGCTAGAAGGCACGAAGTGCCTGGAAGCCCCACTACCTTTTTTTTTTTTTTTTTTTTTTTTTTTTATACTGAGAAAGAAGATGAATTTTGGTATTTTTTTATATATATTAGATTTCGAAACTCATCTTTTGAAACTGAGAGCACAGAATACCTATTTTACTCCAGAAGGGATATGATAATGAACCCGTCAGATAATTTGATCTCTCCCAATTTGGAAACTTTATTACATAATGAGATAAACATATTAAAATATAGAAACTTCAAATACCTTAAATGAAGTTAATACATAATAATTCATTTCATCTTGGGAAAGTGAAATAAATTTTCCTTATTCGAAATCTAATTATAGGCATTGTTCTATATAACCGCTTTAACACACAATGCACTTAATTGAACAAATGTAAACACAATTAGTCTAAATCTTTCCAGCAGATCGACAATCAGAAAGTAAGTTCTAAATGTAGGGGGAGTATCTTTGTAAAAAAAAAGTTATACAATGGCGGCGAAAATTCCGAAAGTCTTCGGTAGACAGATATTGGAAGGACAGCTTGTCATAAGGAGAGGCCATAAGCAGCAGGAATTTGCAATTAACTTTGCTGTTGGACATGGCGAATTCGAAGTTTATTCTCAGGACTGGAAAAAGTGCTATCACAGCTTTCAAATTGCTGATGGAAGAGCTGATATGATCGAAGATAACCTTCTTCGCATTGAATACGCTGTAAAAGGCCAAGCATTCGACTTTTTAATCCGATTTGATCGTTGCGACTTAATTCTCAATGCATTTTCTCAAGCTCAACCAGATAGAAGAGGTGCAGGCGAAAACCAAATTACAAATGTGCCAACAAAAGAAATTTATGCCTTCGGCTGCAATTTGCCACCTGCAACAGCAGAATCAAGCTTTGTTCCATACCTCGAAGCTCAAGCACGTAAGAGATTACTTTTCCTTTCATCGTCAGTTGAAACAAATGAGCCTTTATTGGCTGCGATTGCCTGTGAATTCAGAATGCGTTTCCCACAAATAGAACCAGATAACTGGACAGAAGCTTTCGAAGTTCTTTGGTTCGAATTTGTCGCCTTTTGCGTTTCTCTATGGACACAATGCCTTAAATCAGTTATCGAACCTCATACCGGTCCAAACTCATTCGAATACTTCAGACGCCTTGCTGCATCCATATCAGCGCTTCTTGCCAAGGGAGCAGACGTCTTCAATGTCGATAGACGTGCGTTTTTAATTGCCGTTCGTAAATTCTTAGACGAAGGCGACCCAGGAGATATACCAGCTACTTCCAAAGCATTAGTTTCGGACGTAGAACTTGCTTTGGGCAACGTCAGAAAGAGATGGCTCCTTCAACTTACAGATATGTTCGAATTTACACAGCTTTTCTCTGTTAGTGTGGTCATTGCTTCCGCCGTATCTCCTCTGACCAAGGATATCTGCGTTCTCGCAGGCCAACTTTGCAGTTGGTCAATTTCAATGGTAAACAGCCTAACTCGTGGCCCGAGAATTCAGGACTTCAGAAATGGTATTGAAAAGCTTTCTGTTTCAGTCTTAAGAGCGAATGATACAAAAAGATATTCTCCTGAGTTTCATTGCACGCTAGCATTGTGGAAACTTGCGGAACTTGCAAGAGCAGTCGAATAAGAATCATTTGTTTCGAACATAAACTATGTAATTTTTCTGTATTATCAGTTATTAATTTTCAATTTTTTTTTCTATTTAAAAATAACATTTATTACATAAGCTTATCTCTAGATTTTTGCTGAAAAGCACCAGGCTAAATGATTTTGTTTAATTTTTCAAAATATTAAAATCAATTTTCACAAATATTTACATTAGTATAAGCTTTAAACGATTTTCTCTCAATATTTTCTGAAAGTGTTAGCTAAAGAGAGTCAAATCATGAAAATGAGTTTAATTTTATGATTAAGGCTTGCAATCATGATTGAACATGAATGCTATATTGCAATATGTATTAACTAACTTAACTTATATTAATTCTCTTTTTGTTTGGCGAATTCCTTAAAGAACCAAAATTAAGTCATTAAAAATTATAAATATAGGATGGTTACTCGACATAGATTGAAAATATAAAAAGAGCTGAAAATAGAGATTTATGCTTATCGGCGTGATGCACCGATATATTTTTTTTTCTGTATTGGCCAGCGATGACGCTTCGAAAATGCGCCTATTGTGGATGCTCTGAAGCAGAATGTTTGGCTGAAGTCCCGGAGTGCGGACTTTATTTTTGTAACGGAAAGGGCGTTATTCCTCAAAGCCACATCACGCATTTCTTAAAACAAACAAATTTATCTTCTTTTACTCTCCCACCAGAAAATCGATTTCATCAAGTCAAATTCGAATGCTATGTTTGCCATTCTACTAATGTTTTTCAACTCGGATTCGTCAGATTTCCGCATGATTCTTCTGTTTACATCACCTGCAGGCAGCCATGCCAATTTGATGCTGAAATTCAACGTGAGCCAACTCATACATTTCATCCATTAATCTCAAATGGTCAAATTTTACCCGAAATTGTCAATATTCCACCACCCGATAAATATAAGAAGGTTTCTGTAGCTGATGCACTTGCAGTCATTGAAAAGGTTAATCCTGCTGCCATTATGCCGAACATTGAAGCTGGTTTGGTCTTACCTGCCGCAAAATTAACTTATGATTCAGCCGAAGACTTCACAGGAATCATGAGAAAGTTTGTGGATGCAGAAAGAAGCGTCAGCCACGAGCTGGAGAAGCACAGACGCTTCGGAGACCTTCATTTCGAATGGGCCAACACAAAATCAGTCTCATTCAAGGCCAGGGCACCACTTCTGAAGCTTATTTCTAACGGAACATCCGTAATGTTTACTGTTGGCGATAAAAGCGAAGTCGCAAAAGTCATGGAAGTTACTAGACAAAGAACTGTACATTGTATCTTCTCGAAAGACTCTTCATTCTACACGAAAGACTTCGGAATTACTCTTACAGTCATTTATGGAGCGATTTCCTTCGAACGACAACTAAAAGCATTAGATATCTTCGAAAAAGATAAGAAATGCTGCCATTACATTATCAGAGATGCCATCCTTGGTAATATCAAGAATTTCAAGGACCATAACCGCGTAAAAGGCCAAAATGTCGAAATGGTCCTTCCATCGGGAAACGATTTCCCAATTCTGAACGAAAGCCAGCAGAAAGCTACGAAAACAGCTCTCAAGCAGCGCTTCACTTTAATCCAAGGCCCACCAGGAACTGGCAAAACTACAGTTATTGCAGCAATTGTAGCCAGTTTCGTCAAAGCAGGGGTTACTCCTGTACTTGTTTTAACTCAATCAAACATCGCAGCAGACTTCGCAACACGTAGAATCAGCCAAACAGGCGTAAATGTAATTCGCGTACTTGCATTCAACAAAGAAACAAATCCCAACGACGATACTAACTACGAAACAATACCAGACTTCGATATCAGACCATTTACCTCTCACGCTAAGGCCGTAGAGAGATATGGCGAAGTTTTCGAAGGTTTATGCCAAAGTTCCGACCAAAATGACAGGACACAAGCAAGAAATCTTGAAAAGGACATCATCCGCGAATACCCTGTTGTCTGTACTACATGTGGAAGCGCTGGCGGATCTCGAATCACCTCTATGAAGTTCCCTGTCGTAATTTTCGATGAATCCGGCCAAGTATTAGACCCAGACATTGTCATTGGTGCAACACGCGGTGCTCAACAGATGATATTAGTTGGAGATCACCGCCAGCTTGGTCCTGTCGTTCTTTCGAAGAAGGCAATCAAGTCCAGATACGATGTATCATTGATGAAGCGTCTTACGGCCTTAAATGTCCGACCAAGTGTCCTGACAATGCAATACAGAATGCATCCTTCGATTTCTTCATTCCCTTCTGAAGCATTCTACATGAAACTCGTAAAGGATGGTTTATCGGCTTCAGATAGGAAGTGGCCAAGACCAATTTTGCCATGGCCCGACAAAGAATCGCCAGTTATGTTCTGGAATGTCGATTCCCGTGAAGAAAATTATGATTCCGCGATATCGTACGTAAATGTCAAGGAAGCAGAAGCAATTTCCCAAATTGTTGACATGATGTGCAGAAATGGAGTGAAATCAGGCGACGATATAGGTATTATTACACCATATACCGGTCAGCAGATGTACCTGATGGATTCTCTTCCTTCTCTCTGCAAATACGCGAATGATGATATCATCCAAGAGATAGAAATCGCTTCTGTTGACGCTTTTCAGGGAAGAGAGAAGAATTTCATCATATTCTCTTGCGTCCGAGCCAATGATATGAATGATATCGGCTTCATGCGCGACCAAAGAAGACTTTGTGTCTCTTTGACAAGAGCCAAATACGGTTTGGTCATCGTTGGAAACGCTGCAACCTTCGCAAGGTCTTCTATTTGGTGCAAATTAATTCAAAATTTGATGAACAGAGGTTTGTTCGTCGAAGGAGAACTTTCTGCACTCAAGAAGTCATCATTCACTGCATTAGTACAGGAAGAAGAGGGAAGCGATGATGATGTCGCAGTTGAAGAAATTGATTATGAGATGGTTTACTAGATTTAACTTTTATTTTGAGTTTATTACTGATATTAAAAATATATGATATTTGTTATATTTATTTGTAATCTTCATGAATTTTCAATAATAGAGGAATTGAAATTAGCAGTAGACAGAAAATTTGTTAAACAAAACTACTAAAACCAGCATAGATATTAATAATTCATACATAAATCTTCTTTTGTCATAATATAATTCAAAATCATTTCAGGTTTTGAAAAAACTTAAGCCTTTGTTAATAATGGTTGTAATTCTTCTCGAATCTCGACATTTAAATATAATGAATCCATGGCTCCAATAATAATTACTAATCTTTGCATATAATGGAACTATTTCTTTTCCTTCTTGGTATACTGTATTGAGTCAAATCAAAAAGGAGGCAGAAGGGCATATTTTGATTGTATCCATTGATTTCTATCAATAAAGTGCCCATTGTGATTCAAAATGGAAACAAAGATCGATGCTTAGAACTTTATCTATAATATATGCAAAAAAGAAATGGGCTCCTGAGTAAAGAATTAGTTTTGTTATTGACTCGCTTATAATTGGTATCCATATCACAAAGATATGATAAATGAATAAATATTTGCACTAAGCAGCGGCAACAGATCAGGAAATGTTAGCTGGTTTTTGAAGAAACTCAATAAAAAACTTCAATATTTTTTTTTCTATTCTTTTCAAAACTCTTATAGAATGAATCCATCATATTTCGTTGGATCTGGCCATTCTCCTTTCTTAATATAGTACAAACCTATTTCTGTAGCTGTCACTAACCTTTTAACATTAATATTTCCACCGCGGCTATTAAAGTGAGTAAATTGATGGCCAGGATGTGCAAATACAACAGTTTTAACATTGATGACCTGCGCTTCAAGGTAAACAGAAAAGTCATAAATATCCGTGCAAACTATCACAACACAGGTGTTTGGTTGCATAAAGACCATTTTAAGGCCATTGCTACCTGTTACAGTTATAAGGAATTTAATAGATGCATATAATTTTGCAGTAGCATTGAGATTGTTAAAATCATCATTATGATATTCCCAATTTATATCAAGAAAATTGGATCTAAGTGCATGCATACATTCATCACTGTTAAGTATTATACGGCAATTAACTCTATTTATAAAAGCATATCTGGTTGGAACAATATTCTCTACACCAGCTCCTTGTTTGAGTCTTTTAGATAACTTTTCATAAGCCGGGCCATAATGAACTAGATACGGCTTTGGACGAGATGCAATAAGAGCATATTCTGTTCGTATCCATTTCTTTCATTCAATAAAAAGCACCTTGTGAGTCAAATTTAGCAAATTGAAATACTCTATTTTGTAATCAATTTTTTCATTATTAATGATGACTGCGTCTTTCATGAATTCATCAGGAATCATCATTAGCAGTGTCAATATATCTAATCCGAAGTGCCCATAAACTGGGTGCATATGATTTATAGATATTACCTTCGGAATAAATCTAACTACAGACCCTGATTGCGGCCCATAAATTATATCAGGGCCTGTAGCAATTTTGGTATCAATTATATGTGTTCCATTTGATATATCGCCATTTGAGGATACATAACAACCTTGAAATATTGTGAATCTACATTTCAATTTATTGGCCCATTCAACAATTTTTGAGGTTCTAAATTGGGGAATTATTATTTTGAAATTTTCGGATATATAATTGTTACTTCCTATGGTGTGCATATATTTGTCTTGCTTAAAATAAAATCCCATATTTGATATCGGTTTCGATACATTTTGATCAATACCTATGTTTTGAAAAACATCTTGGGGACTATATTGAATGCGTTTGGAGCATTCTATTCTTTCAACAAATCGTACATATTTGATTCTTAATGTAAAATGATTAAAAACTTCTGATCGGATTTTCGGATTTAAAAAAGAATATGCAAAAAGGACAAGCACTACAAGGTAATGAATTGTGTCACTATGTGCATTGATACCAAGTGATTCCTCCATAATTCAAGTCTTTTCTAAAAATTATGACGTTTTTATTTATTGAATGTCAAAAAGTGGCGCAATACAGAAAATGGAAAATGGCTTATAAATTGAGTAAATTGTACCTACATATCCATTAAAAATCATTTTTCTTATTGAACTTGCTCTATTTATATAAAATACTATATTTTGAATCGATGTTTCATATTCATAATGAATTGGCTATCCGGCATCTCATCTACAAGAGTGACAATCAATCCCTTCATGTAGCAATGGAAGTTTCGGGAATCTCTAATCATGATCTGATTTTTTTTTCTGATAAAGGAACAGGATGACGATTATTTTTCGGGAAAAATAAAATCTTTCGCTTTCAAAATTTAAAACATGTATCTGTTACTCATTCATATTTTCACATAATTAAAAATCGGCAACTTCACACGGATAGGCAATATGACGATAGCGTCACTTTTCCTAACAATGTTTTTCCTTTGGCTTATATTTTATTCCCTTGTCAACTCTAGACAATTAACTGCAGAGGGAGGAAATTCAACAAGTGGACCAACAGAATCACATCACGTTCCAACACTTACTGGCGTAATTATTACAATGGTACTTGGCACACTTTGCATTTTCTTAACAATCATTCCATTATGTCTCATAAAACAAGAAGAAGAGTTCAAATACGATCCTAGTAAGCCGTTGTTAGGCAACGCCCCTGTTGATTGAAAAGTTCATTCACTTATCTTTGCTTTATATTAGATATGCTTGAATGTCAAGCAACTTTACTTCATAAAAATTATAAGTTTAACTTACTATTAATCTTTATATCCATTAGAAAATACCATCAATATCACCAACCACATTTTTTCTTAAGATATACATAATTTTCTATTGTGTAATACTTTAATATGTTATAATACATAAATTTATCCTTTCTTGTTTAAGATGATACTACCGAATATCATTGTTGATACAAATTTGCTTTATCTTAAACTAGCTATAATGGAACTCTTTAGAATATAATTTCCTAATAAATTTTTGAAGCAGTGGAACTGGATCAACTTCATCATTTTCGCATAAACTAAGGTCCTTTTTTCATTTAAGGTACCCTATTCAAAAAATGAAAGGGGGTCCCTCACAAAATTGAAGGGGTACCATTCAAATTCTATCGAAATAGTACCTTAATTAAAAAAGCTCTCAACCGGTACCATTCAAATTCCCTCAAAAATATTGAAAAGATTTTAGGTATGCTGCTAATATAGTTAGTAGCATCATACAGAATGCATAGACAAATTTTTTACTAATTATTTTTTCTTAGCAATTCAAATTCGAGATCGCTTAACTATGCTTAGAATCATAAGCATAATAATTTTGCAAAAGGTATGGGAATAATTTGAAAATTAATTTCAAAATTATTAATACTAGTGCAAGCTAGTGTAAGCATGTAAATGCATATTTGTGCACTGATTCGATACTCTTTTTTGGAAATTGTACTTTATCTTAAATTTCGAATGCAAATTTTTTGAATATGTGTATTGAAACTGTAACCTTTTGTCTAAGTTGCATTCTAATATAGCTCGAATTCTAAAAATGGGACTTTACTCCTCTTTCTTTGAGAAAATTTTAGACAATAGCCAAATTGCTAATTTTGTTGGAGTAATACCTGCATTGGGAGGTATAATATATTGTTCAGGGTTGAAACAAGGAGGTAGTTAGTGATAAAGCATAGTTACCACATGAAATGCAGTAAAATTTTGAGTCTAAACGTCTTTTAAACCATCAAGTATAAATTATAGAAAAAGATACTTTATATATAGTTAAAATAAAAATGATTAGAAAATAGCGTTTTTGATCAAAATTTCAAATTTTTATTTCCGAATATCTCTATTTGTGTCTAATTAGAGACATTTCTATAATTTTAGTGCGCAGCATATGCAATTCCTCTTTGGTTATTGCATTAATTTCTCAAAAAGAAAAAAGTCTTCAATAATTTTTTCAACAATACAGTACTAAAGCTAAGAACTTCTAAACACATGAAAAGTTATATCATTCTCGTTAATATGTAGATTATCAATGAAAAGAATATTGTGAAATTTGAATATTTTTTAAAATAGAATGTAGAAATACTTATCAATGCTTAAAATAGAGATATGTGAGAGCTAGATCCGTATTTATTTACGTTTTCGTGCATATTTTGAATATCAAATTAAATTAATTTTGAAGATTTTAGCATCTAAAAGTATTTAATGCCCCTATACAAGCAAGGTAATTCTTACATGTCTTAGTAAGTCCAAACTTAATGTTTTATGATATGGGCCTGACCTCTCCATATGGTGACGATAGAAATTGAATAGGGTACCTAAATAAAAAAAAGGAGTTTATTTCTGTCATATAATTAATGAAATTTCATATGGAAGAGAAGTTAATGTTGTGTACTGTTAAGAAAATAGTAAAAAATTGATCTTTATTAAGAAGAAATGGCGTTATTACGTCTAATAAAATTTTTTATTTAGTAATTTAAATAATAAAAACATTTTTTATATAATATCAGCTAGAATGCACAAAATTAAAATAGGAACATGCAATTTATACATTTTTGTCTATACCTGAATCGTCGATCCATTTTGGATGAGCAAATAGGCATTTTGGACCATCCGGACAAAATCCTGCTAAGTAATTTAAGCAAACTGCATCACGAGGTGTATGTTTTCTCTTGCATTTATCACCATGTTTGCAATAACCACGAATATAATACTGGCAATCAGTTCCGATTCTATCAGTAAGTTCGTGACGGAAAATGCATTCGAATTTGTTCGAGCACTCGTGATATTTTTCCCAGAATTGACATTTTTTCATTCTATCGATATCGTATTCATGTAATGATTGGCAACGATCACCATGGACGCAGTGGGTGTTAACCCATTTATCGCAAACAACTTGATGGAAACTGTTTCTATCTTTTTTTGATAATTTATTAATGTAATCTTTTAAATCATTTTCTTCATTTTGGTCAACCTCTTTCAAGACAGACTCGAACTTAAACTCTAAGCTCTGTTGCTGGTTTTGAAGGTTATGAAAGTACCACATTTATAATTTTAGAAAACAATTTACAATAATCGTCGATTTTGATAATTTACAATAATCGTTGTGCTCTAAAGTTCTTAAAAAATGACTTTAGCCGTAAGACAATCAGCTTATAATGTGTTTTGCTCAGAAAAGCGTGCAGAATTGCACGTTCAATATCCTCAGAAGAACTTTGGCGAGCTTGCAAAAATTATTGGTAAGCTTTGGAAGAAACTCACACCAGAAGAGAAACAACAATACGAAGCTAAAGCAGCAGTTGTAAAAGAGGAATTAAAGATTGCACGTCAGCAAGAAGAGGAAGAAAAAAAGAACAAAATTGATGAAAAACCAGATGATTATATTTCTGATACATATAGTGACTAATTTAATAAGACAGTCATGAATTACGAAAATATGCTTTTTATGGAAAGAAGTATATTCGAAAATTTGTTTTATATAGAATAAAATATTATAATACATGAATGAATAGAGAAAACACATTCAAAAGATTAAAATAGTATATATTTATAAATAAACATCTATAAAGATTACAAATAAGAAAGAATATAACATTACAAGAAGGATTCATCAGTCGCGAGCATTGCCAAGTCTTTCATTAGCTCATTATGCTGATAATAATTGTTTCTCTCCAAATAATCCGCAATTTTATCGCCCAAATTTTGATCATTATTTGTATTGTTATTATAATCAATTTTGAGCAATGAGAAGTTACCTAGCAAAGCATTGAGAATCTTATTCATTCCATTAACAGTAAAATTATTCATAGATATATCTAAATAAGATAAAGACGCGTTAGAACCAATTCCTTCTGCAATGTAAGCACATCCCTGATCATCAATACCGCATCCACTCATAGAAATCGAATTCAATGTTGTGTTCACTTTCAAAAGTTCACACAAACTTTTCATGGCCTCAGAATTTAAATTATTCTGAGAAACCGTCAATTTCTGAAGAGTTTTATTTTCTTTGAGGGCGTGGCATATGGCTGTGAATCCTTTCTTGGTCATATCGACATCCATTAGTTCCAAAACCTTGATTGACTTATTCATTTTCAGTTTTGAAGCCATTAAAGCGATAGATGGATCTCCAAATTTATTTCCACTTAATCTGAGAGTCATAATGCTTTCATTCTGCTCAAAGAGATCACTGAACATTGCGGCTCCACGGAAGTCAATGGAATTGTGTCGTAAGTCTAAAAATTTTAATTCTTTGTTTCCGCTTAATGCAACTGACAATGGCCAAAGGCCTTCGCTTGCAATAACGTTCCTAGAGATGTCTAGGTATTGTAGTGTGGTATTTTTGTTTAAGCAAATGCTGAAATAGCTTGAGGCGCTGCGTGTAAATTTATTCGCTCCAAGATGGAGTTTCGTAATGGATCTGTTCTCTAAAATCATTCTGGAAATGTAATAGGCGGCATCATCATTGAGTTTGTTGTATGAAAGAGCGAGTGTTGTTAAACAGCGGTTATTTTTTAATGATTCGCATAATTTTTGTAGTAAATCTGTAGTAATATTGCAGCTCCATAAATATAAAGCTTGAAGACGACAGTTAGCATCCGAAAGCATGCTTCCTAGTGAGTAAATAACTTTTGCTTCAAAACGATCTTGTAAAAGTAATGTTGTTAACGTTGTATTATTAAGCAATGCGTCGGAAAGCTCAGCAGCACCTTCTTCTCCGCATTTACAGTTGATTAAATCCAACCCACTAAGTGTACGATTTTTCGTGAGAGCAAAAGCAATTGCTTTGACACCAGCATCTCCTATATGATCATTCCCTCGTAAATCTAGCCATACAACAGGAGCATTTTTTTCAATCGCTCTTGCAAGCGCTCGTGCGCCCCTAATATCAAAACTATTTTTACGAAGAATTAGCATAATGCTATCTCTATTTGGTGGTAAGGAAATTAAGACATTTGAAAGGTGTTCAATCGATTCATCATCAACATCATTATCAATAATTTCTAAATGCGTGAGTTTTGGATGCGCTTTAAGTAAGTCGAATATCCTCATGCAAATACGTTTGGAAATTTGATTTTTTTGTAGAGAAATTTTTGCAATGAAACTATTAGCGTTTAAAGCATCGATTAACTTATCAGCAATAATATCATCCATTCGGACATTAACTAAATTTATCGAGTTGATAATCGGATCGTTCCTCCTAAGCATAGGAATGATCTTTTCAAGGCGCTCACTCATTCAACTCTATTTTTATACACACTCCTAAAATCATACCATAATTTGGGATATTACGTCAGACCGTTAAAAAGGCCAAAATAAATAACTTTTAACTCAGAGAAACAAATAACAATAAAAATATCAATTTAAAATGATTGTAATCTGCTTATAACTAGAATGACTAGAGATGAAATCGTAAGTTATTAACAATGTAATATGAAATGTTCAATTTGAATATGAAATATTCCAGGAAAAATTAAGAAATTGAGTACACCTTAGTTAGACTTACATTTGTAATAAACAATGGATGTTTTTCTGAAATGAGAATTTAAAAATAAAATAGATCAAATTTGCATATAATTTATTTGGAATATGAAAGTAAAACTCAATTTGAGATGAAAAACTACATAGATCTTCGTTTAGGTAGGCATGACAAACTATTATTATGCAATTTGTTATATATATTACCATTCCATATCAATATGAATTTGCTTGAATATCGAAACAAATTCATAAGAGGCTTTTTCTATTACTATGCGATCCAATAAATGTAATACCAATCGCTCAGATTCTCATTCTTTAGTGGGACGAAAATCATTCGGAAATAAAAAATAGGGAAAACCGCAACCACTTTTTTTAATCACGATTTAAATATATAAATCGCGATTTTTTAGAAAAATCACGACTTTTTTAAAATCGCGTTTTTTAATGAATTGCGATTTTATTGTGGTCGCGATTTTTCAAAAAAATCGCGATTTTTATGGAAAATTGTGATCAAAATTAAACGCGATTTTCTTTATCAATCGCGAACATAGAACAAATCGGAACCATGATTTTGGACCTCATTAAGCGAAAAGGTCGCAATTAAATTCAATAACAAAGCAATTCACAAAGGTTTTTTGAATCTAGAATGGCTGTTTATCCATTTTAGACTGCTCACAATATGGTTTTTCTGCATACTTGCCGAAATCAGAGATCTAAAATCAAACAATCTCGATAACAAATACCTCAATCCCACTTTACTGGTCAAAATCCTTGAAGTCTTACTTTACTGCACTAATTAATCATAATTTACCTTTAACTAAAAAAATATTACATAAATCTAACAAAAAAACCTTTAGCAATAAAAATACATTTGCTCAAGCCTATCGGCAACTCAAATCTAAAAAAACTTTTTATAACATTCTTATTACAATTTTTATTTTATTCTTATATTTATATTTTTTAGTTCACTTTTTAAATAATGATCTTTAGATTGAACCAATAACGCGATATTCCATATAAATCGCGATTTTTTTGAAAAATCGCGACCACAATAAAATCGCAATTCATTAAAAAACGCGATTTTAAAAAAGTCGCGATTTTTCTAAAAAATCGCGATTTATATATTTAAATCGTGATTAAAAAAAGTGGTTGCGGTTTTCCCTAATAAAATCCTAAAAAAATCGTAAAGAACGATAGAAAATTTTAGATTTTTTTTACATTTCTATGTCAAATTCACAAAGATATTGGTCAATAGATGATTTTGATGTAGGTGATGTAATCGGAGAGGGTAGGTTTGGAAAAGTATTTGTTGCAAGAGAAAAAAAATCACGTTTTGTCTGCGTATTAAAGATAATCCGCAAAAAACTTTTAACAAAGCATAATCTTGAGAAACAACTGATATCTGAAATCGGATTACACTCGAGTTTCAATCATCCAAACATTTTACGACTTTATGGATATTTCTTTGATGATGAAAGAATTATGATGATTCTAGAATATGCAGCACATGGAACTTTATCAGATCTACTTAAAAAACATACCAAATTTGATGAACCAACAGCAGCAAAATACTTTAAACAGATTTTATCTGCTGTTGAGCATATACATTCAAAAGAAGTACTACATAGAGATTTAAAGCCATCAAATATTATGATTTCACTAGATAATACCCTATTACTTGGCGATTTTGGTTTTGCAATTAAAGGAAATGCTCCTGCAGGAGAAATTGTAGGAACACTAGATTATATTTCTCCAGAGATACTTAACAATAAGGAGTATGGCCGCTCTGCAGATGTTTGGGCACTTGGATCGATTCTTTTCGAGCTTTTAACTGGAAAATGCCCATTTGAAAGCGATGATCCAAAAGAAACAGTTCGTAAAATTCAAAACGCAGAATTTTCTTTCCCTGATTATATTTCCCCATTAGCTCGTAAATTAATATCTTCAATACTCCAAATTGATCCTACAAGCAGACCAACAGCAAAAGACTTATTAAATGATCCATGGATTACCTTTCATACTTCTTTGAATAATTCGTGAAAAATATCTTTGTTATACTAGTTTAGTTGTTAAATAATAACCATAAATTATTTCTTTTTGTATTTTATAAAACAAGAAACTCAAAATTCTTGGAATAACATGAATTAAAAAAAATTTCATAGATTTCCCATGACTCAATCATCTATCGTACCTTAATAGTATATTATACAAATATGGTTAAAATCTTTATGAGTCTAGAGATATTTGTCCTCTAATAACCAAAATATAAATTGTTTCTTGAGAAACTGTCATTTACACTAAATAGTTAAATGTACGTATAATATATTTGTAATGAGTCATTTTGATCAAGCTATATTTTCGCTCAAATCTTCAAAAATCAGAATTCAAATCGCAAATATAACCGAGAAAATAGACAATATGTACTTATAATGTTTATTTCCATGTTCAAAAGATCCAATATTATTTCAATTTAAAACAAATAGATTTAATAATTTTTTTTACAAAAAGAACAAAATAAATTTTTTTTAAACTAAATCAAGAACAGCATTCTTGATTACATTAATAATAGGTTGAAGCATTGAAGCTTCTGTAGCTCTAACTTCCACACATGTTTCATTATTCGCAGTGATAGAGAAAACAATTAAAATACCAGCATTTGCAGCAGCAATTTTATAAGAACCGATATAAGCATTTCTTGTTTGAGGACTCCATATACATTTATTCCATCCTAAAGCATTCATCATTACCTGATCGATCTGTTTATCTTCGACAGGAGTATTGGAGACACTCTGTTTCATCGATTTATCAGAAAGATATTTCCACTTTTCGACGAAACTTTCCTGTGAAACATTTTCAATTTCACTTGAAAACATTTTGTTGATTACTGGACATGGTAAATAATAATCCCAGCCATTGAAACTTGCAGATAACAAAGGATATTTCTGGAAGGCATTGACAGCTCTACAATGGTCTCTTATCAATACAAAACTGTTTGCTGCAATGATGCTTGGTCTCTCTCCGAAAACAAATTGTAATCCAGGCATTTCTTCCGGAATTTCGAATTTGTCAATTGACATCGGAATTGAAGAGTTGTTTTGGATATTGTAAGTTATTGTTAACACAGGAAGTTTCTCTTCAATGAGTGCGTATATAGCAATATTATCATCCTGGAACAGAATTCCTCTTTTGTCTTTGTAAAATGTTTCCAAAATTTTCGTGATTTCGGAGTGTTCCAAACTTGGAACAATTGGAGAATTCGTCATTGTAACGAAATTCGATTGGAATGGACTGATATCGCTATCCATACTCATTGGCTCAAGAACTACTTGGCTCTCCGGCTTACTTTCAAGATTAGATTTAGGTGAGTTTTCGTGTAAATCGAATTTGTAATCGGTTGGCACTTTTTTGATTGGAGAAATCAAATTTGAATTCCATTGTCCTTCGCTTGCCTTTCTTACGTGATGTCCTGCGACTTCCTGGGAATAACTTGAGTAAGGAGAATGCATTGAAGCTCTTCTCGTTGGAGTGTGTGTCTGCGGTGTCTGGTTCGGCGTGAATTCGTACAAAATTCCCATGTATTTCGGTGTTGTCAGAGATTTTTTCAGAACGATATCGTTCGATGACAAAAGTTCTGCTCCTTCACGACATCTCTGAACAACTTCTGTTGACTGCGAATTCAAGTGATCCAGGAGATAGTCAATAGCTGGGGCTCTCAGTTCAGGAACTCTCGTGCTGATCTTGACCATGGCGGTGATCATCATGGCTTGGCTCGTATAATCGTAGAGATCAAACTGATAAAGAATTGTTTCGATGACAGAATTCGGGCCACAGTCACATAAATGGCCGTAATTGCCTGCAAGAAAAGCAGATAGCTGGAGAAATGATGGTGTAAGGACAGAGGCTTGTTGCGTGTTCTGTATTATACGCAAACAATACTCTGTGGCAGATTTTTGAATAGTGTCACGTTTTTCAATAAAATCTGCCACTTTTATCCAAACTTTTTTGCCAAATTCAGGGGTACCTTTAAGAAGCATATCCACGCACTTTGTGAAGACTCTTTCGGCATTCTGGTCACGCATAACAACATTTGCACATGCTAATTGTGCATCTGTGAGAAGCCATGAGCCTGCATACTGAATAATTCCGACCAAAATGGATTCAGAAGCTGCATTATTCACAGAAGAGATAATGCTAAAGATCTTAAGTGCTAAATGATCTGTTTGCCTGTCTTTGGCATAGATTGGCTGCAAAATTGCACCTTTTTTGTCGTAAATCTCTTTGTTGAATGAATCTGTCTGCCCAACTAGGTTGAGAATGGCTTCAAATGAGAATCTGTTGCTAAGAGAACTGCCTTCTTTTGTATCTGCCAGTAAAACCGAAATTAATTTTGATCTTCCTTTTGGATCTAAAGGAGCTTTAGCTAAAGTCTTCATAGCTTCTGTAAATACAGCCATAAATGAGTATTCTTCACGTTCTTTGCGTTTCGCTTTCCTTAAAGTTAATAATTTTCCTAAAATTGCGTTTAAATACTGTATTTCGTTGTCATTCCATGTTTTATTGTATGAAAGTATTCTAAACAAGTCAGCTGCGATGAGAGGACGCTGTACTTCGGTTTTCTTTTGTTTTGATTTTTCGTCGCCTAAAACGAACGTTGCGAGGACTCTAATTGCTGAAACAAAGACGTCATGGTTTTCCTGTAATTGGTTATTGCTGAGTAATGATAAAGTAAGTTTTGCAGCACTACCTATCATTGTTGCTGATTTTGAGATAAGTAATTGAGGTAAACTAGCAACTACTTGCTCGACACAGCAAAATAGCTTCGTTTCATTGTAAAAAGTTGCTAAAACGCATAATGCTTTTGCTTTGATACAATCTATGATAGTTGTTGATAAAGCAATATCGCAAACAAGATGTCCAAGTTCCCTAACAACAGCTGGTGTTGGACAAACACTGATTGTTGATAATGCAAGGCCAATAAAATAATTTTTGTGCTTTTTTTGATCCAAAAGCATTTCAGTTATAACGGGAAATAAAGATGGGGCAATGTCAGGATTTGAATTAAGTACTAATGATAAGATAAGAAATCCGGTTCGATTGAATTTATAAGATTTATCTTGCATTAGAATCGTAATATGCTTAGGATTTACTGGAATGTTGGCGCCAAACATTATTAATTGGGCAATTTTTCCAAGATAAAAACGAATTATCTTTGCTTTATCTTTTTTCGGCGGAGGAACATGTTTCGAAAGATTTGTGAGTACTGAAGCTGTTGTACCAATGGAATCTGCATTATTTGGGAGAATAACGCTCTCATAAAACCCTGTTAAATTTTTCTCCATTGATGCAATTTTTTAAAAAATGAAGCAAAAAGTCAAAATTTTGGTTTTCCTGATTTCTAAAATGGAAATATAATAGCTAATATTGTTATTGAAATTTCGCTTCTGTTAGCAAAAGTGACAGTCTTGAAATTATTGAAAAGTGGAAAACGAAAACTAATTTTATATGGGATTATCATTTATTCATCTCCATACTTGGCCGTTGCTAAAAACAATGATTATCATATGGCGTTTCTTCAACTTAAAGATATAATTGGTTTCAGTTTTTAGGTATGTCAACATTCATTTCATATATTTATCGACGCAATGAGCCCTTATTTGTTAGCTTGTAGAGTGACGATATGAGTTATTTGGTCGGAAGTTAGCCAGTCCATACTCTTGAAATATGACTTTCATTATATATATATTTAAGTCAAATCTTTTAAACAAAATTAGAGGGTGGTTTTTTAAAAATTTCTGAGATGAAGTGAAAGTTTTGGGGAAAAAAACCACATTTTTTTTGATGTGTTCCATTGATTATGAATCAATTGGCAAGGATTTTGAAAAATGGTACAATAATGAAGAATTTATTAGTATGCGAACGGTTTCAGATCTTACTCATATCTTTGACTATTGCTCATTTACTTCGAAGCAATTTTTCGAAACATTTTCAATCATTGGTAAAATGTTCGAGCCATCAGAACTTATTTCCATTATACAACATGCTAAAATAAGACATTATGAAGATATTAATACAGCTCTGGAAATTTTAGATTTTATATCAAAAATTTTAAAAACTAACATGTTACTTGGCATTTCTTCTTTCATTAAGTTACAGAATTCAAAATCAAATTCAGAACATAATAGCCAAGCAAATTCTGAACATCATGATGTACAAAATGATAAAACTACCATTGAAGAAAATCAATTAACACTTTTTGAGCTAGTTAGTATACATAACTAGTGTACTGAGGCACTGCGCGCCTCCTTACACTTGTTATGTGAATTTGACACTTTACAAAACCAGTAACATATATTTTTACAACACAAACGACAACACTAACTTAACATTAAATATTTACAAAGCCGCCAACCACTTCACTAATGTTTTCACAAACGACTTCACTAATGTTTTCACTAATGACTTCATTAATGTAAAAAATAAACGTTCTCACTTACAAAAGTATTGCAACTCCTCCCATTGCTGTGCTTCACATAACAGCTCATAATCTTCTGACTCACTTTCTTCTTCATATAGGTCAAAATCACTGTCAAAATAAATGTTAGTAAGTTTTGACAAATGTAATGAAACACGTTTACCGTTTGTATCGTATGCTTGTATAAACTTTCCATTCTTCATTCCTTCATAAACGCTCAAACTAACTTTACCCTTTCTCCCTCGTATCTGATAGAATGTATTTTCACGAGGAACGAAGAACAAATTCTTGAACTCATGACCGTTGTAGTTTGTTATCTCAATAGTTTTCGTCATTTACATCCAAATAAAATAAAAAATAAAATAAAAAATAAATGATATCACCACCCTCACACGTATGAAAACATAGCCATAAATTTAGGTGAAGTGGTGAGATCTCACCTCTTTTTTCACCTCTTTTTTCACCCTTGAATTCATTGCTTTATAACTCTCTTCCTTTCTCCAACTCTTCTAACTTCTTCCTAAGTTCACCAATGTTGTCCTCATGAAGTTTAATCTTTCTCAAAATTCCTTCTTTATCTAATGGTTGCTTTATCTTTCTAAACTGAACTCTACCATCCTTCATAGTATGAATGTAAAAACCTTCTGGAATAGTTCCTGATTTAATGTATTCTACCAAAAACTTTTGTTTCATTGCTTCAGTGACTTTAGTCGTCATTTCAATCAAATAAAAATTTTAATATTAAATAAAAATAACGTTATTTTTTCAGTAAGGAAACGCAGGAGTTTTACGATTTATTTGAGGAGTAGGTTCTGGTTTAAATGTTGGAGTCGGTTTAGGAGTTGACTTTTGAACAGGAGTTTGTACTTCCATAGGTTCAGGAGTCATTGAAGGTTTTGCTTGTGAAGGCGTTGGTTTTGGCGAGGTGTTGGAGTTTGTTTAACTTCAGCTACTTCAGTATTATTTACAACATTTGCTTTATTTCTTTTCAACATCATAACTGCTCCTGCTGTAGCTAGCAAACCTAGTGGGAGACCATATTTTATATAGGACTTGACCAAATGCTATTTTTGACAGGAGCTGGTGGAACACCTAACCTTGGTGAGACTGCTCTTTGCCATTGTGCAGCTCGTAAGAAATATTCAATAGGTGCTCCATAATCGTTTGGTAAAGTTTGTTTCATAGATGGTGAAGGTTCACGAGAGCTTGATGAAGAACTCATTTATAAGCTTTAAAAATAAACGTTCATCCTTTATTCCTCACTGTCGTCCGTAGCTAAGTTATAGTCATCTAATCTTATTATGGGATGCCATTAGCACGCACCTGAATGGCAAAGCAACAATCCCTCATAAATCCAATAAGTGGCTTTGGTACATTTTCAGTTGCTAGTTCAATAGGTCCTTTAACAGACAATTTGTATGTTATTGGAGCAGTAGATGTTTGACCTTGCTGGAAGCAAAAGTCCACTTCTGTTGGAAAACCACATAAGAAATGTGTGTTGTCATAGCTATCCCATTTATGTTCCACACTACCATCATCCACCAATGACCTCATAACATCTTCATTAAATCCTATCATATCATTGTTTGTATTGCAAGCGTTCGCAACCATTTCATAAAATACAGGTCCATATGATTTTTCAGGTTCTGCAGGCATATTTCCATAAGCTCCCATGGAAAGCTGAAGATATTTAAACTTAGGGTTCTCAAAATTAACATAATAGTTGTCTTTCTTTCTAAATAGTGCCCAAATACTTTTAACATTAATAGGCGTATAAGCTGCTGTAAATGTTGCACTTGAACTATCTGTATTCTTTGAGAATGAACCGTCCATAGGAATCCAATCCATAACTTTAACAGGAAAACATAAAGCCTCGTTTGTATAATGTTCTACAAGTTCTGTATAAATGTTAGGGTCTAAAGAGAATGACTTTGGATGAATGAAACATTCATTAAAATCCATCTTTGTTCGAAATAGTTGCTGGGTTACAGTTGTAATAGTAACTGTTCCACTAGCTTCTACTGCCTTCGTTATCATAGTGAATGGTTCATTCCATGGAACAAATTTATTTGTCGGTGGATTTGAATCTGAAGCAAATGCAACTTTAAGAGTTGGATTGAAAGCAATGATATCATTTACAGATATAGATGTGCATTGTAAGGCGTCGCTACTGAACTTTACTTTAAGCTGAATGTTTCCTGCAAAAGCTGGAATAAATCGAATAGCTTCTAATGGAAGGAATCTTCTAACAGGAATTCTTAAACGAAGCTTAAAATCAAATGATTTTCCTGCTGTAATTGGACCACTAACAATTTGTCCTGTTCTGCATGTTCCCGAATGACTCCATACATCTTCATGTCGAGTCTTTGAGAAAACATCTACTTTCTTTATTTGTTCGGTAGTTTGTGAGTTTGAAGTTATATATGCTTCTTCTCTTGCGTTGTCTTGAGAATATACGATACGACCATTTGCAAGGATTTGATATCCAGCAACTGCATAGAAAGCGTCATCGAAACCAATCCAAAATCCTGGTGGGTTTGTTTTATTGGAACCTGAACCAATTTCTTTATCTACAATAAATTGACCTTCCATTTTATACGTAATGAATGTATTGTAAAGGTCCAACATATTTTCACCAGGAGGTGAGAGATTGAATGTTACCCATGTGTTATCTTTAGCAGTTCCAGGTTGTGATGGAATCTTTGCGTCAGAATATTTTCTATTAGTGTCACCAATTTGAACTGCATTGTCTATGATATCGAAATATGAGCGAATCTGATGAATATGCTCTGCTGGAGTAAATTCGTTTAACTGTTCGTTCTGCATGTATTTACTTCGGATAAAAATATCTATTTACTTCATTATTCTCACTCTTCTTCTTGGCATTCGTGGTGGAAGTTGTTTCTTGACATTTTCAATGAACTGTACATTCTCTTTTGTCTCAACTTCTTTCACTGGCGGGTCAGGGTTCTTTGACTCGGTTTGTTTTTCAATGAAATTCACGAACTTTGCAATAAGCTCTTGGTTCGTTATTGAAAGTACATCTGGCTTCTTTTCTTCTGGTTCTATTGACTTTTCAGTTTGAATAGAAGGCTTAACATGGGCTTCGTGGACTTCACCCTTGCCATACACCTTAATGTTGTCGCTTTCTGCATTCGCTAATGGAACCTTTCTTTTTCTTACGTATATTTTACCATCTTTACTCTGACTTACGTAATAGAAAGGATGTTGTATTCCTCTGCGTCATTTAATATAATAGACTCTCGCTCTGATTTTGACAAGCTCATTTTACATCGGTTAAAGTTTTAATTTTGTTTTTTATCTGCAGTCAAATGACTCAGACAAGCCCTACGGACAAGACCCAAGGGGTCATAGATGTTGAAGCATTGAAGAAAGAAATTCGTGAGCAAATTTTATCCGAACTGAAGGAACAAAAACAAGAACAAAAGCCAGAGAGACCAAAGAGAAAACTTAGTGAAAAACAACTTGCTGCATTAGCTGCTGGAAGACAAAAGAACCCACGTTTGCTGGCGAAGAAAG